TTTCCTCTGAGCACTCCAGTGTCCTCACCTGACATCATGTTGATATGTACTGTATTTTCCGGGCCATTAGACGCGCTCTTAAGCCTCCAACCGCATCAAAAAACGACTGCACGCCCCACAATCCAGAGCACCCTATACACGAATCCACTCGGGCGTCCCAGCACGACTTCAGTAAACTACAGAGGACCCACAGAGCACGCAAACACACACGGAGCAGACGGCGACCGCGCAGCGAAAAACACCCACAGACACACTCATCACTCCACGCCGACGAGGAACGGAACGAAGGAACGAACCGGAAAAGCGAGCGCAATGTGCCACTTCTAGACACGACTGAACAACTGAGTCACTGCGAACACGCCGACAATCCAGTGATCCCAGACAGCACCCTCCCTACACGCCACAACTGAACAAAGCCCAGAGTCACCGTGAACGCCACAAACAAACAAAACCACTCACCCATCCAACTGTTGTGTTTCATTTAAAGTCCGGTGCTGTTTATTTGTGAAAAAAGTTTGAAAATAGACCATTTAATGACAGTGCACCTTATAATCCAGAGGGCCTAATAGCCCGGAAAATACAGTAGCTCTCTGAACTGAGTTTTACACATGAATCTGGGATAGACCAGTCATGTTTGTTTGTCACCAGTTTCCCCACAATATGCTTAAAAAAACATAACTAGAAGTTTAACCAGTTTAATAACTTTTAATAATGTGAGTAAGTGTAGATTGTGTTTCCCAGGTGTGTGTTTGATTCTAATAGATTCATTCTGTATTTCAGCACCTCCTTCTGGCTCCCTCTGACGTGGCCGGGTGGGGCATCTTCATCAAAGAACCGGTCCAGAAAAATGAGTTTATTTCAGAGTACTGTGGCGAGGTGAGAGACGCCGCGAGCAAAGAGTTTAGAAATGCAAATATTTAGAGAAGATTATTACATAAACTTTATTTGTTTTTCAGATAATTTCTCAAGACGAAGCCGATCGCAGAGGAAAGGTCTATGACAAATACATGTGCAGCTTTCTCTTCAATCTCAACAATGGTAAAATAAAAAACTCAGGAAATATGTATAAGAAAGTATAATCTGTACTGTACAATTATCATTTTGCTCACAATTTTTGGGTAAATTCTCTTTTAGATTTTGTTGTTGACGCCACGAGGAAAGGCAACAAGATCCGTTTTGCTAATCATTCTGTGAACCCAAACTGCTATGCAAAAGGTAACAGTGTTTTTCGAATCAGCCGTGACAGCTGGCATGTGTTCAGTTCAGAGTTCAAAAACATAAAAAGAAAGCGCCACAGGACCCAAAGCAGAGTTCAAGAAGAAGGACTTTGATGAATTTTGTATTTTAAATTATTAAATTGTTTTTGTTGATTGTTGTTTGCAGTGATGATGGTGAACGGAGACCATAGAATAGGAATCTTCGCCAAAAGAGCGATTCAGACCGGAGAGGAGCTGTTCTTCGACTACAGGTTGGAACCAAATACATTTACACAACACTTTCTTTTTTTTTTTTTTTTCTTTTTTCTTCCCATAAACATTTTATATAAATCACAGGGTTCCCTCAGAAATCCTGTAAAAGTCAAGGAATTTTAGTATCTCTTTCACACAACTACAGGGTTCTGTTAAGTTTTCATTAGGCTATGATTATGATTATTTCTGAACGTTTGCGCCTTTTGTTTAAAAAGAGACAATAAATGCACTGACAGTGTTTTCAATTAAATTAATCAGTTAAAGAACTACAGCTCTGGAAAAAAATAAGAGACCACTGCAAAATGATCAGTTTCTCTGATTTTACTACTGATGGGTATGTGTTAGAGTAAAATGAAAAAAAAATTATTTCATTCTATAAACTACTGACATTTCTCCCCACATTCCAAAGAAAAATGTTGTCATTTAGAGAATTTATTTGCAGAAAAAAAAATGGTCAAAATAACAAAAAAGATGCAATGTCTGGAATTCAACAGACGCTGGAATGGAATGGCTGTCATACATGTAGAGATGCTGATTTCAGAAAAAAAAATGCAGTGGTCTCTTAATTTTTTTCCAGAGCTGTATAATACCAAACCATAAGGTGAGTGGAAAGGGTTAACATTTCATATTTAGCCCTAAAAGTCTGATCAGTTCTACACATGTAAGGTGTCGTAAAATCAGGGAAAATTCACTTTAGGTCATGAAAAAGTCAATGTAAAGTTTTGAAATTTTGTCAATGAAAAAGAGTGGGAAATCTAAAATCAAATCTTGTTAACCAGTTTTAAATTTTAAAAAGATTTCCTCCTTGTCTTCATGGAGATTTCATTGCAAGTTCCACACTATGGCATTAAATCTATTTAGTGTCTCCACGGACACAAACAGGTGATGCCCCCAGTTACAGGTCATACAGAAGTGACCCCCCTTCTGGTATTTTGTGCAAAAATAATAAAAATAATCGGCCATAACAGCGTAGCCACGGGATCTTAAAAGTCTTTTAAAAGGTCTTAAATTTCATGTTCCTAAATTAAGGTCTTAAAAATCTTAAATTATGTTTTTTCTCAAAGGTCTTACATTTCATTTGTCTATTTTTTGTAAACTCAACCGGGCTGCAGTGCGATGTTAAATGGAGGGAAGGGGAAAAAAAGTGAAAACATGTAACAATTTGGAGTATGCACAAACAACACTTGGTTTGTCTTGTTAGAATGTTATAAATGTTTTTTGGCCATTTTACAAGCAACGCATACGACTATAAATGAGTTCTGAATGAGATTTTGTTAACTTTTTTTTTGTTTTTTTGTTTTTTTGTTATTTAAAGCAGTGAGTAATGGACATTGTTAGAATTGGATCTGGTGTTTTTCGCCCACATAATGGGTGCGATGTTGGTCTTAATTTTCATTTAAGTGGTCTTTAAAAAAGTTTTAAATCTGGGGTAGTCAAACCTGGGGATAACCTGCATAAGTATTAGTCCCTCCTACATTTTGTTCAAATCCAGAGGGGACAGGAAGAGACTCTAATCACGCTCACAGGAAGATGTTTGGAAACATGTGGATGATGACTTCTGGTGTAGTTCGCAACACTGGGCATGTGATAAAACCGTGGATTCAGCAGCAGCGTTTTCACAACCTGCCAAAGTTTTCCATGAAGGACTGGACTCTAATCGCATCTTCAGTGTCACTTTTACAGGCAACTGGATGGAAATGTTGATCTGACGAACATAACGAAACACTACAATGACATATTTAAGTTTTTTATTAAATTAGGCAAATTATAATCCACAAATTAATAGGCAGTTTATAAAAGTAAAAAATAAAGAATACAATGACATCTAGATAAAAAAAAAAAACTGGGTAATTTTCTCAGTTTTCCAGCCAATAGAGCCCAAAGGAAATCGTCATCCGCATGTTTCCAAACGTCTGCCGGTTTTGTGACGTAAACGTGAATATCGTTTATAGGACAATAGTGTGAAAAACAACAACAAGCTCCAAGAGATGATTCAACCACAGCCACTAATTTGTGTCATGTGTATCTCAAATGCAGACAACATCTCCTCTCCAAAACTCTCGTAACAGTTAGAACAGAATATACAGCTTCTTTTTTCTCAGATAAATAATAGTTTAATTCTTTGATTGTTGATTTTGTAGTAACTTCATTACATTTATACTTGCAGATATTTTTTTAGCTCACACTTCTCTTCTTCTCTCAGGTACAGCCAGGCCGATGCTCTGAAGTACGTCGGTATCGAACGTGAAATGGAAATCGCCTGAAAATCTACCTCTGACTCTTGGGCCTTACTCACCACAAACTCAAATCAGGAAAATACTGCCACCGTTTGTACTTTTTTAAATATGGGATTATTTCACCAAACTCAAATGGACTTTAAACATGTTTTTTACTCAAATACAGTGAAGAGACCAAACCAAGTCTTACTGTTGTTTCCGTTCAAACTTCAGGGACCAACCTCCTCCACCAGCTGTTTTTCACACAATCAACTTTATAATAATCGTTTTATCAAATTGCTGCGTATTAAGAAAATTTAGGATCATTTTGGGATTTTCAGAGCAAAGTCACAACAACACGTCATCAAATTACCAGCAAAACATTTGATGCCTTGAGAAATTATAATGCTTTATTTTGAAATTTTGAAATGTAAAAAAAAAAAAATTATGGTGCAAATTTCTGGAAACAAAATGTCTAACTTTGTGTTAATATTATCTATTTTAATGGGAAAAGGTCACAGCCTTAAAACATGTTTTTTCTTTGTTGGTTTTATTTGAAATTTTACAATAAATGAATATACAAACTGTACTTCTGTTTGAACGTATGTTTTCTTGGGACACAAACTTTTTTACGATATATTTGTCATGTTTCTATTTTCTTTATTGACTTAGTTTTTCCATCAGACAAGCCTATAACAGAAAAATGCAATATTGATTACCACAAAACAAAATGAAACAAATAGTTGTGAAGAATGAGAGGATTCAAATCTACTTATGTAATTACACATTTGTAAAGTTTTAAAAAACTATAAATGATTGCCATGTAGAACAAAATGTCCCCAAAGTACCGCACACTTAACAATTCCTTTATTTGTTCTAATTGTAAATGTTTCACAAAGTCTTTCATTACAACCTGTGTTTTGTTTTCAGTTTTTAGTGTAGCATTTTCACCTAAAATGTCAAAATTATTATCTTTATATAGGAAAAAAATCTTGTACCTGTAGTTTAGTTCCCCACAAACATATTCGAAAATACGTTTTATTATTTTAGATTTAGAAAAGTGAAATTAAATGCCATTTGAATATAAAATTTTCTTTGTAGGACAATCTACTAGTAAATCCATAAGTATAACAATAGTAATAATTGATAATATTTTAATATGAGTCAAATGTTTGGACTCTCAATGTTTTTACTACTTTCTACATTTAATATACATACAAAAGACATTAAATATATGAAGCAAGATACATGGGATGATGTAGTAAAGGGAACAAGTTAAATAACTCCCTCATTAACCCGTTAAGTTAGGGGGCGCATGGAGTGTGAGACAAAGCTTCATAAAAGATCTCAAAATTTCATGTGCACATTAGGAAACCGAACAGAAAGCTCCTCTAAACCTTGTGTGGAAGTACCGCCGAGGTCCAGCTCTTTTAACTGACTCGACTTCAGGGCTGAGTGTAAAGATGCACAGCTGACATCAGACAGTCTACAGTTCTTCAACCTGAAAAAAGAATTGCAGAGTCATCAAAAAAGCATATCCTTTAGACTGAAAATGTATGTTTATGTTTTCAATATCTAAACATCTTTTTTATGTTTCTGACACCAAAAAAATTATTAAACTAAAATAATGTAATATTTAGTTTTTTTATTGCCATGGCAACAATCATAACTTTTCATTGCGTCAAACCTATGGATTGGTTGTTTTAAGTTTGTGGTGGTGTCACACTCTCAAGTCTAGCGCAGGAGTCTACAGTGTCTACAGTGGAACAAACCGTTTCAGTAAAGAGTATTTATACAATACAATAGTGTAGATTTTGAGAAAAACCTGCTCTATTTTGTCACATTTTCTGTCTCTTCTGTCTCTTTTAGCAGTTAGTTTAGTTTTGCAGTGACTGTGTCCCGACTGGTCAGAGCCGTTGCCACAGCTATCTTGGTCCCATCTAGGCCTACCCCCTGCTGTCTTCAGGTTCAAATCATAGACTGTATAAAAAAAAGTGGACTAAGCAAGTGTGACGTCATCCACAGCATTCAGTGCTGCTCAAATGAAGCTTGTGATGCTCATGGTTACAGGAGCAAATTTAGAGCCAGGCTCTATATTATGAATAGGATTTTTTGACCAAGAAAAGCGAGAAAAAAACACCAGGATCATGTAGACCGGGTTAATACAAACATTTTTAGACAAAAATGATGAGGCTCACAGCAGCAGTTACAGAGAGAGGGATGACAATATTCCAGTGCAAGTCACTGGGAGCAATGGGATCTTCATAAAAATACTACTCCAGCTCATTTTCAGGAGCCTGTGATCAATACGGGTGTTCATGGTTCGGTTTAGGAGTTTAGGATGTTCAACTAAAAAGCTGAGAGAGACTAACTGAAAAACTGTTGGCTAATGCAAACTAGCTTGTGACTGTAATTTTATATGTGAGAGATTTTTTTTAACAGCACAAACCAGCTCTCCTGTTGCATCTCCCGCTAAATTATTTTTTTCTGGTCAGATTTTGTTAAAGCTAAAATCATATTAAGTCTAACTTGAGTAACAGAGCAGTGCTTTCAGTTAGCTTTGCATCAACTGTAAAATATCGATAAATGATGAGACCCACTTGAGCATCTCCAGGTGACAGTGAGGAGACCCCAGGACGTCCCACAGTGCTCCTGAGTCCCGGATATCAGTGCGACTGAGGTCCAATTCTTTCAAATGAAACGGGTTCAGCTTCAGCGCTGAGGCCAGAGGAGCACAGCTGATCCATGTCGCACTGCACATCTCCAGTCTAAAACCAATATAATGTGACTGTACCAAACCAGGGCTAAACCAGGACCAGCTAAACCAGGACTAAACCAGGACTAAACCAGGACTAATCCAGGACCAGGACTAATCCAGGGCTAATCCAGGACTAAACCAGGACTAAACCAGGACTAATCCAGGGCTAAACCACGACTAAACCAGGACTAAACCAGGGCTAAACCAACCAGGACTAAACCAGGACTAAACCAGGACTAAACCAGGAATAAACCAGGGCTAAACCAGGACTAAAGCAGGACTAAAGCAGGACTAAATCAGGAAACTAAAACCAGGGCTAAACCAGGGCTAAACCAGGATAAACCAGGAACTAAACCAGGACTAAACCAGGGCTAAACTAAACTAAACCAGGACTAAACCAGGACTAAACCAGGGCTAAACCAGGGCTACACTAGAGCTATACCAGGGTTAAACAGGAATAAATCAAGACTACATATTTTTCATTTCAATTAAGCAAAGTTAAAGCCAAAACATATAATTTTGGTTCACTAAAAGTAAATTAAAATGTCTTGTCAAACTTAACATTGATATTGCCACATTATGCTAGAGATGACTATTGTAATCCATGTTAAAAGAAACCTGAGAACTTCCAGCCGGCACAGTGGGACTTGTAGAAAGCTGCTGAGAGAGTTCAGTCCACTCTGTTTCACGTCATTGATGCTCAAATCGAGTGTTCTCAGGTGGGAAGGATTCAACAGCAGAGCCGAGGTCAGTGACGCACAGCCAGCCTCAGTCAAAAGGCACTCATTCAACCTAGAAATATAACAAGAGAGATAATGTAAGCCCTATACTGTAAATAAGCATACATGATGTTAGAAATAGTGTAGACCTGTGGATAATTATTAGGCATTGCTATTTTCGTTAATGTACTCAAGTGTCTTGCTCACAACAACTCTGCGTATTCAGGCGGGATTTTAACATTACCCCAGACTGGCAACAATAACGATGCGCAACGTATGTCAAAAGAAATACAGTATTGATACTCCGCAGTGACAACACGGTGGGGGTACAGGCTACTGCATGTATGTCTATGGCAGAGTGTCCAGCAGTTACCATGGTGACACAATGTGCACATTAGCAAACACAGCCTGATATGTTTTTACACAAGCAAAAATACAAAATGGATTAAAATAAGACATTTTCAGGAGTCGGTGATCAGTCCAAGCGTTCATGGTCCTGTGTGCGAGCTTATCTAGTAACCCCGCTGCAAAATATCAATAGGTTAAGGTGGTTATTTAAATAGCTCAAGTACAAACCGAGACAAACTGTTTCCCAAAGAGACAAACTTCTCCCAAAGTCCATTATAACTAAAAAATAAAAACACTGTTTAAGATTACGTTCAAGAACTTACTTAAGTGTATGGAGTTTACAATCTGGACTTTGCAGAAAGCCACAGAGCAGAGACAACCCTGTGTCCTTTATGCGATTATTGTCCCCTAAGTCCAGCTCTCTCAAATGTGACAGGTTCAGCTTCAGGGCAGAGGCCAAATAACCACAGCTCATCTCAGACAAATCACATGCCATTAACCTAGAAAACAAATGTATGATGGAGATCAGCAGTGAAAGAATGTCCTATACAGTCTCGTACAGCAGTATATTCCAATGTTTATAGAGTAAGAGAGTAATAGTCAGACTTGTATTTTTGTGTCATTATGTTTCAGCAGATTGGCGCTTTTCCTACATGGAGCAGTGGACGATAGCGCCACCTGCAGTCCGCCTTCTTCAGAACTGTATCGCAAGTATGAGGAAGTTGGTACGCCCCCTCGTCCCAATTCACTGTCTGTTGGGTTTCTGGATCTCGATGGCTTCCCTGATTCAACAGTGTTACTTGATGTTCTCTGTGAATATGACCAAGAGTTGTCCCCATTCGTTAGGTGGTTCTCCCTACAGTGGTCGGTAATGGAGGACTTGAGCTGTTGTTGTTCTGCTTGTGACTTAAAGGCTCCTGTGCATTATTTTTTTTACACTCTGTTCAATGTATGACACAAAAATACAGATCTGACTACATATTCCAATTATTAGAAGGCCTAATGAAACTGTTCCATGACATTTTTGCTTTTATTAGTATTTTTTCCCCCTTCATATTACCTTTCATGGTTTGTTGTAGGCCTGGTATGATAAATACTAGATTGTTCAATTTATAATACATAAAACAATAATTTCTCTTTTTCTGATGAAGGGAGTTGAATAGATAACTTACATAAATAAGCTACAAACTAATTACTGATTGATTACTAATGATATTTTTTAAAGCAGTAGCATGTAACTTGTGCCAAAAAATAAACTAAAATTGAACCAAAAACGTGCTTTTTCACTATATGGATGGATGTGCCTATTGAACTGAAAAACTACTGTGAGCATCTCCACAAACCTATCTGGCCTGGAGAAGGGCCTCCTCATTCATTGTTTATATTTTCTTCAGTGAGGTATCACTTCAAAATTTGTTATCGTGACATTTTTATTTTAAAATTAAGCCACTTCTACCAGAATAATACTAATGACTATGTCAAAGAACATGCAACAGAACACTTGAACCCACCTAAGTGTTTCTAAGTTGCAGTGAGGGCTCTGGAGTCCATCTGAAAGCAGCTTCACGGACGATTCCTCCAGTTCAGTGTCACTGATATCGAGGAGTTTGAGATAAGACGGATAAGACCGAAGAGCAGAGGCCACAATCTCACAGTGAGTCTCTGACAAGCCACAGTTCGACAGTCTGTAGTTCAAAACAACAGACTTATAAGTACCTGATTATTTCCCATGTATATGAGCAAAATGTTATGCCCAAGTACAGATAAATTGTAGAAGCTGATCTCGAATTTTAAAGTAGGTTATTGGATGATGATCAGGAATTGCACGTTAGCATGCTAGTTATGCTAAAACTCTGCTTTGGTCTCTGAGAGTTGTGAAAACCATGCATAATTTATCGTGGTGAATAACTAAGATGCTCTGAATGCATAAGATAAGTGAGGAATAATTTTGGACCACTGCAAACTGTTTCAAATGAACTAGAACTGTTTTTTTTTTACACATTTTCATGATCCAGTCAGGTTAGAAAGCAAAAAAAACATTCTGTGTCTGAGAACATATACAGTAGGTAATTATTTAGGCAATGAGCTACGAATATTATTCTTTTACCTGAAATTTAATTGCTGATTGGTGGAAGGTCTTTGTAGCTGGAATATGATCCTGACATTTCATAATACACATTGTTCTCAGCATCCGCGTGTAAGTACCATTGCGCATTCGTTTTGACTGTTGACCGTGACACCCTCATCAGAAAAATGTCAAAAATGAGAAAAGTGGAGCCGAGTGCAGGATTTTCCAAGAAAAACTGACTTATTCCTGTTTGCATACAAGTTAATGTTAAAACATTGTGTTGAAATAGAATTTTTCTTAAAGTTTCAGGTTGTTCATAATATTATAATATTATAATATTAAAGAGTTCATCAATTAAAAAAGATTTCTGTAATAGATTTGCGTTTCTCTGCACAAATATTTGAACTTATTGTTATTTTTGGGGTTTGTATGACATGAGTTTTCTGATCCGGCCCCTTTGGGATCAAAGTAGGTTGGATACGGCCCCCAGAACAAAATGAGTTTGACACCCCTGCTTTAAGACATAGACATTTTAGTAAGTTTTGGAACCATGTGAATATTGTCTAGTTCATGGCCCATCCATTGTTTGCAGAAAATCAGAATGATGTCATTAAAATTACAGTACTTTTACATAGATATTTATGGGAGAAAATAAAGAGGGGGAGGACTTACATGGCATTTCTGCAGTTCCTCACAGCAGGGACCAGCCTCCCTCGAGCCACTGGAGAAGCATTGTACATCTGCAGGTTCAGCTCTTCACAAACCTCCTCTGACACCTGCAGCATGTAAGCCAGAGCCGAGCACTGAAGCTCAGACAAGGACTCTCCAGATCGACTGCTAAAAGGAAAAAGATGGCCAAAAATGTACTCAAGTAAATGTAATGTTACTTAATTGTAGTCTTGACGATTGATGAATAGGCCAGAAAAAAACAAAAATGTAAGAAATACATGTAGCACCTTAATTTGCAGTATAATAATAACCTAGTTATAACAAACAGTTCTGATTTTAAAGGTCCTATATTACACAAAATCGACTTCTGTGAGCTTTAAGCTGTGTTATAATGATATTACTTCATCAAAAACAGACCGGGAGTTGTGTTTTGTTTAAGTAATCCTTCATTATTAGTCTGTCTACATCTTCAAAGCTCAAAAAGCTCTGTTCCACCTTGTGATGTCATATAGTCATCTTTTTCAAGTTAACAGGTACCTTTTGTATCACCATTTGTTCCAATTCCAGAGTTAAAATCATCAAAATAATTCTAGTGCAGGTGTATGCAGTTTAAAAGTGAAGCACTTCCTGTATTACCAGATGACATCACAAGGTGGAATAGTGTTTTCCATTTGAGAAGAGCTCAGTCTAAATATGCAGGATTTGTGTGTTAAACGTGTGAATGGCATAACAAAACTCCAGGTTTGTTTGTAATGAGGAAACAGTTTAATAACAAAGTTTAGAAAATAGCGTAATATATGTGCTTTAAATAAAAATTGCAGATGTATTCGAAATCAAATGAATAATTCAGGCTTTATGAGGAGAACTATTTGGTCAAAACTGAAGTATTAACACTACCAACCTCAGCTGACTGGATTTGAGAAACTCCTGCAGATCTACAAGAACAGTTTTGTCCCTCATCTCCGTCAAACAGTGAAAAATGTTTATGCTTCTGTCTGGATTAACATCCTCTTCACTGCCCGCTCTCTTCAGATCATTTATTATAGTTTCTAGAATTTCAGGGCAGCTTTCTGTGCGTCCAAAAAGACCCACCAAAAGTTTCTGATTGGATTCGAGAGAAAGCCCATGAAGGAAGCGAATAAACAAATCGAAGTGTCCGGTTTTACTTGTGAAGGAATTTTCCAAAGCTGTATTCAAAAAATTATCAAGATATGAATCATCTTCCTCATCTGAGCACTCCTCTTCCTCCTCTTCATCCTCTTCCATCTCTTCAAATGGCATTACATCAGCGTTGTCTTCTGCGTATCTGTTGCAAAGGAAATTTCTCAGCACCGTGTCGTCTCTGATGAGGTAAGCATGAAAGATGTAAACTGCGGCGAGGAATTCTTGAACGCTCAGATGTACAAAGCTGAAAACCGATTTGTCAAAAAGCATGCACTCTTCCTTTGTGAAGATTTTCGTGCAAATTCCACAGTAAACAGAAGCCTTTTTCACATCTAGGCCACACATTTCCAGGTCTTCTTCATAAAACATTACATTCCCTTTGTGGAGCTGCTCAAATGCCAATCTCCCCAGCTTCAGTAGTGCATCGCTGTCTTCCTGAGTCAGCTGCAGTGAATGTCTGCCCTGCCCTTTAACCAAATCTGTACAAAATAACAAAGTGACAATTAACTGACTGATTGAAATTTGTAAAATGTGAACACAATCGACCCCCCCCCCCCCCCCCCCCCCCCCCCCCCCCCCCCCCTTACCATACTGTTTTTCTTTTTTGTCTGTGCTAATGTGAATTTTGTGTTTATTTATTCCTTTTTTCTCCCTTAATATTATGTTATTGTTATGTCCATTGTCTTCCTTATTGTCTGTTCAATACAATAATAATAATATATAATAATAAAGACAGTCTGAAGCTAGTAGCTGTTGTTTTTAGCCTCATCTGAACTGTTTCACACCAGCAAATCACATGAACATGCGCCTAAAGATAGACTGATACACCAAAAGAAGCTCTGTTTGAACAGAAAACATGACTACACTGCTCTCTTGCATTTTTGTGATAAAGAAAGGACTGTGGATGAGTTTGTAGCAAATTTAAATTACAAAATTTTATTAAAATAATATAAATTTTGGCCTAAACATATCGGCAGACTTTGTCACCCATTGGTTTCTTGGGATTCAAAATAATCAGCATCGGCCTTTAAAAAAATAGTTAGTCCATTAGTCCATTTCTACTTGTGCTTCAGTTGGCAATCCCAACATTATGTCAGCTCAGAAGCCTGAATTTAGGCCTGCCTGTGATCAATATGAGCATTCATGGTCCCGTTTGGGAGTTTGATTTTCAACAAAAAGTAAACAGGGACTGACTGACCAACTACTGGCTAATGCTAACTAGCTTGTGACTGTCATCTAATTTGACATCAAATCATCTCATCTCATGTAGCTCCAACTATGTCAGTTCTTTCCTGTCAGATTGTGTTAAAATGAAGCTCAGATTAAAGTCTAACTTCAGTAAAAGAGCTCCTAACAGAATAGTGCTTTCAGTTAGCTTCACACTCCTAGAGACATCATCTGCAAAGTATCAAATGAAAAAAGCTCCAAAATATTTCAACCCTGGAAGAAAACTGTTCCGCCTTGTAACCAGCTACTGCATCCCTACCTTTAGTTTTGTTCCTCGTCATGTGAACAAGCAGGAAATGCGCGTACAGATCAGTGAGCGTCTTGGGCAATTCATAGCTGCCCTCTGTAGTGAACAAATGCTCAAACACTGTAGCAACAATCCAACAGAAGACTGGAATCTGACACATGCTGTGCAAAACTCTGGAGGCGTGGATATGGGAGATGATACCAGCTGACAGTTGCTCATCTGTGAACCTTTTCTGAAAATATTCCTCTTTTTGGGCGTCCATGAAGAAGCCTCGTACTTCTGTAACTCTGTCGATGCACGTTGATGGGATCTGATTGGATGCTGCCGGTCGAGACGTGATCCAGACTAAAGCAGAGGGTAGCAGGTTTCCTCTTATGATGTTGACCAAAAGGGCGTCGACTGAAGACTTGAGTGTCACATCAGAAACCTCCTCACAGTTAAGAAAATCCAACTTGAGTCTACTCTCGTCGAGACCATCAAATATAAGAGCAGATTAAACTTGGAGAGCGCATCAGCTGTGAGGTTGTTCAGTGTCGGGTGGAAAACATGCAGTAGTGTTAGCAGACTGTAATGTGCATTTCTGACCAAATTGAGCTCTCTGAAAGACAATGGGATGACTAAATCAATGTCAAGGTTCTCTAAGTCCTCGGCCCAGTCAAGAGTGAACTTCAACACCGAAAAGGTCTTCCCCACGCCTGCTACGCCATTGGTCAGCACGACTTTGATCGACTTCTGGGCATCTAGGAAGAGACAAGGAACAAGCCGAGAAAAATATTACTTAAAGGCGCACTATGTAACTTTTTGGGTGGAGAGTAGCAGATGAATAAGTTACAGGTCAGAGGAGGCAACCCCACTTGGAGTAAAAATGTATGTTTGAAATAAAAACAATAAAACACCTAGATTCGTTTAATTCCAGACAGTGGAACATTCCAGTAAAAGCAGAAACATCTCCATGGAGACAAGCAGCTGGGGCACCCTCCCACCAGAAATGTTACATAATGCAAATACTGAAGTAGTAGTCAAAAGTAATCCGTGTATCATTCGTTTATTCGTTTTTCAATATAAAACCAAAAATAAGAAAACGAAAAAACAACTATTTTCTTCATTATTTGTCTCCAAAACCAAAACTTTTGTGTTTAAATCAATAATGGAACAAACTGATAACGGCAATTTCCTGATTTCATGACTTAAACTGCAATGCAGAACTTTTTCACCGCATACGGACTGAACCAGGACTGAAACAGGACTAAAACCAGGACTAAAACAGGACTAAAAGAGGACTGAACTGGTCTAAACCAGCTCTAAACCAGAATTGAACCAGGACTAAACCAGGTCTCAGTCCTGGTCTCAGTACCGGTCTGGTCCCGGTCTGAGTCCTGGTCTCAGTCCTAGTCTCAGTCCCAGTCTGGTCCCAGTTTGGCCCCGGTTTCCTTACAGTCTACGCGGGTGCACATCCAGACCAGTCCCAACACTCCTGGTTCAGTCCTGGTTTAGTCCTGGTTCAGCTCTAGTTTAGGATTGAGACGGGACCGGCCCAGGACCAGAACCGGGACTGAGACCGGGACTAAACCAGGACTGAGACCGGTTTACACCTTGTTTAAAGATGGTTAAGACCTGTTTTAGTCCTGGTTTAGTCCTGGTTCAGTTCTGGTTCAGTCCGGCATCGCAGTTTAAGTCACGGAAATGGGAAACATTCGTTATCTGTTTTTTCCATTATTCATTTAAACACAAAAACGAAAAATGAAAAAACAAATCATTATCTATTTTTTTCATTTTGGTTTTGAAGACAAATAATTAAGAAAATTGTTGGGGTTTTTTTTTGTTTTATTTTGAAAAATGAATGAACTAAAGATACACGGATTAAAAGTAGCGATCCAAATAATGAGATTCTATTTTTTTATGAAGTAATGTTCAAAAAACATGTTTAAAGATGTACTACGTACATTTTCTGGAAGGTGTCCACAGCCTGCTTGTGTTGTTGTTTAGCCTGGTATGTTTTCTATGGTATGGCATTTATTAAACTTATCCATATATTTATTAATTTACATGTGTTTTTATTGCAAAGAACACCTGGAAAACATGCATTCTTACTGTAAGTGTGGTCACTTCTCCACATATCTGACCTTCCAAGGCCTGGTTATGCCACCAGTTAGTCTACATGGAGCTAGAATATACATTTTAGGCAAAGCAATAACATCTCTATGGGAACAAGCAGGTGGGGGACTCTCTACTAGTAAAGTCGCATAGTGCACCTTTAAATAAATATTTACTTACATTTACCTTCTGGACATGTTCTTCCTCAAATTAATCCTATTAATTGTCTATCATTACATCATGGTATGGAGTTTAAAGTGAGAAAAAATGTAACTGGCCCACCTCTGTCTGTTAATGGTTTGAATATATCTTGGCACTGGATGCGGGTTTCTTCCAGTGTCTTCTTCTTAGAAATGACCTCCAGCTGCCGGGCTTCATGTTGGGCATTCAGCTCCTCATTTTGTCTCTCTGTGAGGTAAATTTCAGTGTAGACAGATTTTAAGTCTCTTCTAGCTCCGGCTGCGTCAGTGCCTTCAGCCACGTGTTCGTTTCTCCTCTTCAGGCTGAGTTTATGCTCACTGAGAAGATTTAAATCTGCATGGGTGACAACACAATCCTGCATTAATAAACACTGGACCTGTCTTATTGTGCCCATAGGGAAAATGGTCCTCTGCATTTGACCCATCTGATCTGATCTTGAGCTAGTCTTGGTCTGGACTATGAGGATTTGACCTATTGTTCATGTTTTGGGTTGATGGTAGAAACTGGAAGCCCACCCAGACATAGAGAGAACATGCAAAGTCTACACTGAAAGGACTGGGAGTGAAATTTGGGACCTTCTGGCTGTGTTAGTAGCACAGAACTCAGGATAAATAGATTTAACAGTTAAGTGTGATTAATAGTTGTGTAAAACTATAATTTATACTCCCAAAAGTTAAGCTTAGCCACACACTTTTAAGAATTTTGTACGTTGTTTCTTCTTACATTGATTGATTGAAATTTGATGTTACTCACCTTTAAATAGTCCAGTTTCTTTGGTCACCTTTTTACTGAAAACAAAAATTATGCTGTAAGTGTATGGATTATTTTTAGGCATATAACAAGGTCATTTTGCAATATTTTTTAAATGCTGTGTTGCATCTACATGTTAAGGGAACTACTTAGATCAGGGGTCTTCAAAGTTTTTCAGGACAGGACCCCCAAACTGATGAAGATCTGAAGCAGGGACACCCTACTACCTATATGGCAAACAATTGTGTTTTATATTGGGCCAGCTACTCTGTTATTGTACATTCAATACAAGGAGAGTATTCCATTAAAGTTCCTAAACAAGTTCAGACTTATCCTGAAATCCTGAACTGAAACTAGCTCCATCTCCAGTTTAGGTCTCAACTCGTTCCGTGACTGAAATAAGCCTCTGACCAAAGCTAATTTAGGCCTGAAGTTTAAACTGCACTTTGTGCTCGCAGTGACTCTGAGAAGACCAGAGCAATAGAGCAACAACATCACGGAAAATGGGCTCAAAGTGTGATCTGATGAAACAAGAGAGGAACCACAGCGTGCACGGAGAAGAGTTTGATTTGAGACACTGAACTTTTCCGGTCATTCTGATCTGAGGAGCAAGAGGAAAGACATGACTCCCCCCTCCTCTCCCAGTCGCTCCGTGGACAGAGAGGATGCTGGCTGTGGAGTGAGGAGCCTGGTTAATGCACCTGGAGAATGAAACTGCCTCTCCTCTTCCCTATGCGTGGTAATATGTGCGGAGCTTAAGTTCCGCTGTGCGTGAAAGTAAAGCTGTAATGGAACTCTTCACATGTAGCCTAACAAGAAACAATAAAATCTGCAACAACATGTTTGCAGTTTGACAGAGAGCGAGAGACGAGGGAATGAAGAGAGAGAGACAGATGTGATGAAGCACACAACCAGAACCCACTGAAAACCAGTTCATCCTCATCCTCCAAAAATGAAGAAAAAAAAAACTCTGATCAACAAAAGATTTCATGACCCGACTCCCCTGTTGAAGACCTCTGACTTATACAATTATCTTTAGCTACAGCCAACAGTGATTTATTTGTGTTAGTAGAGCCAACACAAAGAAACCACCATTATTAAACACTATGGAATATGGCAGTAATGAAAGCACTAAATGACTGGCAGTGTACTATATGTGTCTTATTTTACTGCAGCTCACACTGGGAACTCCGAGTGTGTCACTGAAGTGTCCTCTTCATTACTGAAGTCTGGAGGGTTCCACTTGGACCAGTCACTCCTCATGGACACATTACTGGGAACTGGAGACACTGGCCTCAGTCTACAGTTGTAACATGTCACAAATTAAACACAAACACAAATACATAAACAATAAACATTGACTGCACATGTATATACACTGTATATGCTGTATGCATTTGAACTACTTCTGATGTGATCTATCCAGCTACATACTTTTTGACTTGGTGTGGATCAGTGGGTCCAGGTTCATTACTAAAGTCTGGAGGGTTCCACTTGGACCAGTCACTCTTCAAGGACAAATTACTGGGAACTAGAGACACAGGCCTCAGACTATAGACAAATCATACACAAATTATAGATAGTCAAAAAAGGTGTATTTGACAATTGGCTATTTTTTTGGGACAAAAACAAAAACACACACAACTGTAAATGCTGTATAAGATCGAAACCATGTATGTGAGTTAGTTTTCCTACTTATGCTTAACGTTAATCGAGTCTTTATAAGCTATATTATATAAATGTCTTATTTATTCAGACTTGGCAAAACAGTGAACATAATATATAAAACATAATATAAGTAATGTTGATGTGAACTGTGTAGTTAAAGTCTATACATATATGTGAAATACTTTCTTACTGATTTTATCTATCCAGCTACATACTTTTTTAATTGGTGTGGGCCAGAGGGTCCAGGTTCATTACTGAAGTCTGGAGGGTTCCACTTGGACCAGTCACTCCTCAGGGACAAATTACTGGGAACTGGAGACACTGACCTCAGACTAAAGACACATTAATACATAAAACATTTTAGAAAAAACACAACCGTACAATTAATTACAATTCAGTGTTCTATGTATATAAAGCAATAAAAAAGTAACATTCATTTTAAAATAATAAAATTATTTTGAAATTCAAGTAATTTAGATCCTGTATCACTACACTCTAAAATATAGGCAAATTGTAATAAAAGTTATTGAATGTGAAACTGAAAATGTTAGCTGTTAACTTGTAGTCAGTATAATAATAAACTGCATCTGTTACTTTGAGTCAGTGGGTCCAGGTTCGTTACTGAAGTCTGGAGGGTTCCACTTGGACCAGTCACTCCTCATGGACACATTACTGGGAACTGGAGACACTGACCTCGGTCTACAGTCGTAACATGTCACAAATTAAACACAAACAAAAAAAACACAGACAACTGTATATGCTATGATCTATCCAGCTACATACTTTCCAGGTTCATTACTGAAGTCTGGAGGGTTCCACTTAGACCAGTCACTCCTCATGGACATAATACTGGGAACTGGAGACACCGCTCTAAGACTAAAGTCACCACACAAACATATTAATTTAATTTTAAAACACACTTTTAAGCATCAAATTATCACAAAAAGCCTATAATTAAGCAATGCTGCCATCAAGAAGTGATAAACAAAGCAGAAAAACTGTCAGCAGAAAACTTCGTTGTTATGCACACAGTGTTGAGTTTCAGATCACCACTGAGGATGGGGGAGGGTAAGAAGGTTACTGCTAATTTACACTATAATCCCATAATTTTCCTTGATATAAAAAACATATAATTATACAGGATTCACAAAAATTCTTCTAAAATTACAACCATGCAGTTAACAAAATATTCAACTTGAAAAGCATTCTTTTCTGAGGATCTCTTCTTTTGGGACCAATGCAGTGTTCTAATTATAACACAGATCCAAAAAAAGTGTATTATAGGACCTTCAACAAAAATCTGTGAACACAGTGCAAACACATTTGGTTATCTATACAAAGGGGTGAGTTTTTATTCAGGTGTGTGGGTTTTGCTAGAAAAACAGGTGTCTATCAAAATAATTAATCTATCTAAAGGTGAATTCAGTTTTATTTTTTTTATTACCTAGGGTCAGGAGGTCTAGGTTCCTTACTGAAGTCTGGAGGGTTCCACTTGGACCAGTCACTCCTCATGGACACATTACTTGGAACTGGAGACACTGACCTCATTCTAAAACAAGATTATATGATCATTTATTGTAACCAAAATAAGACAAGACAGAACAAAATACCAGCATACTTTTCAACTTTCTTTGACACATCACTCCAGTGTCGTCCCGATGTCTCAGCTTCTTCATGCATGATCCTCGTTTTATTTCGTTAGCAACATGAAAGGAGCGGCAATCAAACCACACCCGAGGAAAAAAATCTATGTAGTTGGGTTGGGAAAACTGGGTAGAGCCTTTAGTTTACTTAATGGTAAATGGTTTATATAACAAATAGAAAGTATGTGACCGGTTAGTTTCACTTACCTGGCCTTGATAAAATATCTACGTTGTGCGCATAAAGTGAAAGTAGGCCGTAGTATCTGAGTGGATCTATTTGTTTAGGCGTAATCGCTCCCTATGTTATTGGTTTTACTTATAGATTATCTGCCTGCGCACTGATATGTTATGTTGCAGTGAAGTAAGGTAAAAATTAAAGTTCACGAATTCATCTAACCTCCGAGTTGAATCTTTATTTACCCTTTTTATATGTTGTAGCAAAGACAGACAACACGAGGTGACGTCAAGCAGCCTGTTATCTCACTTTAATCATAAATAACTACTCATGTTACCCTGGTGTGTTTTTTTAGTACAGTTAAGGATTTGAACATACTGTTCCTTATGTGCGTGTGTGAAATATTTTAACACTGACTGACAGGATCGTCCGAGTACCCTTCGTCCACTTATTTGCCTGTTTTAGTTAATTTATTTAGTCTTAATATTGAATGTCGGCCAAACTGTTAGGTAGTCGGGTATACAAGTATAAAAACGCTTTTGAAACATCTCATCTAGCTGCTATATACCCGTATTTCGAGGAATTAAAATATTTTCTGTAAGGATGGCACAATATAAAATATAGTGTTATTAAACAGAAATATCACAATTAGCTATTCTTATAGGCATGATTGCTGCTTAACTAAATAAACGCATTCGTACCTATAACAACAGGCTTCTCAATTTCATTAAACTAAGTGCATGAGTAAGTACATGATGCTATTTGCTTAGTTCATATATTATGTAAAAGTAATAGCTATACTGTAATAAAAATAAATACATGTTCAAGTATAAATTTAAACTTTTTTTTAACTATTAAAAGCGGAACATTTATTTCACGCTTGTGTTCTACCCGTGTCCCTTTCAGTGACGGACTCTGAGGCTATTTGAGAGAGCGGTTGATTTTTAATCTCTTCATTCGCTGCTCCAAACTCGTCAGAATGAGGAACATGTTAAACTTCATCTCTACCGCGCTCTGCCGCATCACGGGCCGGAGCGTGGTGAGTGTCCGGGTCTGGTGTTTGCTTTATGGACGTTTAATTTGCCTGTTTCTATATTGACTGCTAACATGCTAAATGCTAACCGTGTGTTTACTGACCTTGTGCCGCGGCTCGTTTCCTGATGTGACTTTTCATTTAAAATTATTTTGCACCTTTTGTTTTGTTTGAACTGGATTGTGTTTCACTAACGTGCATGAAGTAAAAGGTGGAAACACTGAACTAAATACTACTTAAATTTGTGTTCACATTAAGCTTTAAACAGTTTAAAAGGTGATCAGACTCTCTATTTACCACAGATTTATTCAAAACTATTGATTTGTCCCAGTTTTATACAAGAAATGTCCTTATTTTTAACCAATCTGATCCCTGCCAACAGTAAAGAGAGGCATATATTGTCATTTGTTTTGGTAAAATACAGAAAAGCTTCTTAAAAATGACCAAAACATAAGGAAAATGTGACTATACTGACTCACATTATTGCCGAGTACATAATAATTTTCCTTAATTACGCACTCGTTTCACAATTTTGTTATAACCAACCCAAACCAAGGATGTCCCAGTTTTTTATTCTGAAAATCTGGTCACCCTATTTAAACTTGAAGCAAATCTTTTCTTAAAGGTCCACTGTGTAACTTTTTTTGGTTTCAGGGTCCGTCACTTACTTATTTTGTATGAATATGTCTGGAATGTCCCACAGTGTGACATTAAACAGTTCTACCTTATATTTATTCAATTACAGGTGGTTTTAGAGCTCAAAAATGGCTAGAAAAATACATTATGACTAGGGGTGTGCAAAAATATTGAAATATCAATATATTGTATCGTTTAATGTGATGATACAGTATCAATATCGTGGGCTGCTGAATCGATATATCACCAAGAGTATTTTACTGAATTATTTTGTTACAGTACTACAGTTTTGTTGCTTGTTCAGAGGAAGGAAACTCATTTATGTGACATTTTCACTGTTTTGTTGATTAAAATGTTTGTTTCGGATTAAATTTGCACAAGAAGTGGTTTAACGAAGACTTTTAGTATCACAGCCACGATTTAGCCTTTGTTTTTTATTGAATCATATCAAATTGAATTGATATGGATCGTATTGAATCGTATCAAATCGAAAGCTCACTGTATCAAGGACTGTATCGTATCGGCAACTTCTGAATGATACCCAGCCCTAATTCTGACTGTGAGCGAGTTCGCCTGTCCACAGATCCAACCTGTAACTTAGTCTGATTTGGTCTTCATGGAGATAGAAAGGTTTAATATCATACTGTGAAATATTCTAGACAAAGCAATAAAATTTCCACGGAGAACAGCATGTGATGGACCCTCCACCTGAAAAGTTACACGATACACTTTTAAGCCTCTTTACTCTACTTTTCATCAGTTCTTGATCACAGACAAAGACAACACCACTGTGGTTTCTTTGGCAGTTTCACACTCTTAACATTCAGAGGTGTAGCACTGATTCTTCACATTCCTGAAATTGCTGAAGCATTGTTCTGAACACAATGGGCTTCTTAGAAAGACAACTCAATCAAGATTTGTTCCTAAACACGAGTTATTATTATGCAACATATCGTCTTGTTGCTACCTTACTCAATCATAAACCCGTATTTCGAGAGATTAAAACATTTTCTGTAAGGATGACACAATATAAAATGTATTATTAAACAGAACGTATTATTATATGTATTATTAAACCAGAACCCATCTTTTGCTAATATTGTGACCATAAATAGAGGTGATTGTTGATTAACTAAATAAAGTTAACATTTGTATCTATAACGACAAGCTTCTCAATTTTATTAAACTAAGTGCATGATATGATAAAGACAATGAAAAACAAGCTGAAACTGATTTGCTTAGTTGTTATATTATGGAAAAGTAATAACTATACTGTAAAAATGCATGTTTAAAAGTATAAATTGAGGCTAATTGTAACAAAAACTGATCTTCCAAATACTAGTGGGATCATAGTTTTGAGTGGGCAGTACTGGTTTATCCACACTGGGTCACTTTTATGGAATGAAAAGCATGAGACGTCACTGGTGAACTGTGAATGCAGCTGCTCCATTAACCGTGTGTTTTGTGGCTCCTGCTTTGCTCCTTTAACTCAGAATCCTAATGTTTGTCTGGCCTCTCTCCCGCTGCCCCGTCTGCACCGAATCACAGGGAGCACAGACCGTCTCCGAGGTAAGTCTCCTCCTTTCCTCCTCTCTCCCCCTCCTTCCTCTCCTTCTTCCTCTTCTCCCCCTTCCTTCCTCCTGCTCTTCCCTCCCCTCCTTCCTCCTTTGTGCTTTGATCCTGTGGCCAGATTAACCATAGTTTAGCTCCAGGTTCTTTTGATATGTTAAACAGGCAAAACTACAGGTATTCCTCATAGAACTTTAATAAAATCAGTTTTTATTATAGATCCATGCTATCCCTCCTCTGACAGATGTTAAAGGTACAGTATGTAACTTTCTGGAGGTGACACATCACCTGCATGAGTCCATGGAAATAGAAAGTGTGGAAGATGATTGCAAAATAAACATTTCCATGGAAGCAAGCAGGAGGCTTCCTCCAGGCCAAATAAGAGTCCACTCAATGGTTTTAGTGCAATTAAAGCAGGCAAATAATTTTTAAAAAAGTATGAATTTAATTAATTTATTTAAAGTTATGTTCTGTACCTTGTTCTAGTTTCAACTAGGGATGTAATGATATCGAAGTCTCATGATACGATCATCGTCACGGTATGTGACATCACTGGGAATCACGATATAGTCACGATTAGGGATGTAACAATATCCAAATCTCTCAGTACGATATTTATTGCGGCATTTTGTGGAGGTTAACAAAACTGTTTCCTTTTAAAATGTCTTGACAAGACTTAATCCAAAGAACTAAGACTTAAAAGTGTTTAGAACTGTTATTTCTTCTTGTAGTCTGCACTGAAATGGAGCAAAGGATCATGGTCTATGTAGTTCCCTCTGTCTTTTTAGCTATTGCTGCACCATAACTCTTAATTTAAGCAAAGAGACTTGTAATTTTGTATATTGTGATATCCATGATATTATTCTGAGAACTTTGACGATACCATATCATGATATTTCGGTTATTGTTACATCCCTCGTTTCAACTTTTCGCTGTTTGCTTTTGAGTGTAAAGTTCACTTTTCTATGTTGTTCCTGATACATAATGCTTATATTAAGAAGTCTGAATTTAATTATCATGTCACAAAATGAATTAAAGGGAAAATTATGAAGTTCCAGACTAAATCCAGACAATAATTATTGTATATTGATTTTTAACTTATTTATTCCTTCCAGCAAATGTGTGGCCTCGTCTAGGAGTATTCTTTTGGAAAAAATGTTGTTATTCTAAATTCTTATTCACATTTAAAACATCACCTATTTGACAAAACAATGAACATTTTAGTCCAATGAGGTTCATTTGGTCTTCTGAAAATTTATATTATTACGCTATTTATCAGACAGACATCTGACAGTTTCCCAGTCGAAACTGTCAGGTATGAAAACAAACTCTTGGTCTGAAAAAAGAACCTAATAATTACACAATAAATATTTCAGAGTAAAATGTTCAGTCAATGAAATCAAAATTTGTCAGTGATTAATTTTGTCACTTCCAGATCAACATTAGTTTTCCTAGTTTTTCCATAGACACATTTTCTTCCTGTTTATCTGATGTTGTTGTCATGGCGGCGGGTAAAACGCTGCGTTCTGATTGGTGGGCTCCTGTGTTCCTCAGCTCCTTATCGACCTCTCAGAGTTCGTGCGCGTGTCGTCAGGAGAGGCACAGATCCGCAGACTTCCTCCTGAACCTCCTCCGGGATCAGATAGAGCTGCAGAGTTAGAGTCAGAGCCCGTAGAAAACACTGTAAGGACCAGGCCGTGGTTTTACGTGTTTGAATGAAAACTAAAGGGGCAATGCGGGACTTTGGTGATGGTCCGTTTATGAAGATGGACTGTAGAAAATAAACAACTTGGCCTTTAAGGAACTGTATTCAGCCTGCACATTTATAGTTTTAAATGAGAGACTGAAATGAAGACTGAAATTAAGATCATTCTGCTTTTTGATGACCGACTTGACAATCAAAACAACAAATTATAACATAAGTGGGACATCTTGTTTATTGTTTTTGTAATTGCGAATAGATCAGTCATAAAAATATCAGTAATAGCTCTATTTCATTTGAACATGTTTACCTCTTTTCTGGAGAGACAGATGGGTCATGTTTATGAAATTTGAAACCAAAATCTTGCTGTTCCTTTTTAATTTTGATTACATATTTTTTATTAAATTAAATAAAATTGTCATATAGAATGTGGTTTTTAATAACAAAACGAGTCCATCTTTATAAATAGACTGAAACTTATAAACTGGTCTTTTCACATTTTGGGGTTTATCTTTTTAACATTATGAAGATCAGGGTTCCCACGGTCATGGAAATCCTGGAAAAGTCATGGAAATTGAAAATGTGATTTTCCAGGCCTAGAAAAGTCATGGAATTTTGTAAATCCAATGAAAGTTTTGGAAAAGTAATTGAATTTTAGTATGTCTTTCATGCAACACAAGTTCTCATTAGGCTATTTTGATTATTTCTGAACGTCTGTGCCTTTTTTTTTTTTTTTAAAGAGATGACAATAAATGCACTGACAGTATTTTTGGAATGTTAAAAAAATATAATACCAAACCATAAGATGAGTGGAAAGGGTTAACATTTTATATTTAGTCCTAAAAGTCTGATCAATTTTACACATGTAGGTGCTGGAAAGTGCTGGAAAATTCACTTTAGGTTTTGAAAAAGTCATGGAAAAATTTGAAATTTTGTTATTGAAAAAGAGTGGGAGCCCTGAAAGATTTACTTGCATCAGCTTTTGTGCTTGGCCTCAAACTAACACTCTATGTACGTTTCACTTTGCTGTTTTACATGAGTTTAATAAATTGTAATAAATAGTCTAAAGTGATATCGGGAGTTTGTATAATGCACAGATTTGAAAACCTGAAATATTGTCTTAACATTTTCCTTCGTTGTCTAACCACTAATACTTTGCTTAATGTTTGCTCCTGTTTTCCATTGATAAACTGTTCCACCAAATAATGAAAAATTACTATTTGTTTTTTAATATGTAAATTGTTTATCTTTGCTTTATTCACTGGTGTCTGTTGTGTTTTCAGGCCTCTCAGGTCGTTGCTTCTCGGTCATTTACAGATTTCACTCCTGAAGTCACATTCAGCATCAGAGTAAGTGGCTGGATTTTGTACATCCGTGTATTTACTTTATACTTTTTATTTGGAATCTAATTATAACTTCTGATCAATTTTTAAAACACTACAAATGTGCCTAAACTCTGCTTCTAAAATAAACCTATTTCTGTAACTACAGCATGTGGTTTACCTTTCATAGATGTGGACAGAGGAGAGAAAGAGGGAGATGAGAGAGAAGGAGAAGGAGATAGGAAGAGAGAGGGGTAGATTGACAGATGGAGGGAGAGAAAAAAGGAGATGGAGGGAGAGAGAAATGGAGATGGAGAGAGAAAAGGCGATGGAGTGAGATGGAAGAGGGAGAGAAATGAACAGAGGGGAGATGGAGATGGAGAGAGAGAGTGATGGAAGGAGATGGAGAGAAGGAGATAGAGATTGAGGGAGAGAGAGAAATGGAGATGGAGAGAGAAAAGGCGATGGAATTACCGGTAGAAGGAGAGAGAGAGATGGGGGAAAGATAGAAATGGAGATGGAGAGAGAAAAGGCAATGGAAGGAGATGGAGAGAAGGTGAGAGAGAGAGGAGAGAGTGAGAAGGAGAGAGAGAGGGGGGAGAGAGAGAAATGGAGATGGAGAGAGAAAAGGCGATGGAAGGAGAAGGAGAGAGATTGAGAGAGATGGAGGGAGAGAAAGATGAAGAGAGGGGAGATAGAGATGGAGAGAGAGAGGGAGAGATGGGTAGATGGAGATAAAAACTGGATTGGACAAACTGGCGAGGAACTAATATTTTTGTCTGTCCCCATCTCAGTTAAATTCTCATTGTTGTTATTATTCTCTCGTCTTTGTTGTGTTTTGTAGAAATGTGACGTCCACGGTTTGGAGGAGGGGCCCCCTGACTCCGCAGTCCTGACTCGGGACCAGGGTCTGGACCTGTACCGGTGCATGCAGACCATCAGACGCATGGAGCTGAAGGCCGACCAGCTCTACAAGCAGAAAATCATCAGGGGCTTCTGTCACCTTTACGACGGACAGGTAATAATACATTTTTATTAGTACTTTAGGTTTTTTTGGTGATAATTTTAATTTCTAAGGTCTATTGTATGGCACCTAACTTGTCACTCACAGTAAAAATACAAGTTTTTAGTGTTTTTTTTAAGCACAGAAAATTGCTGTTATTGACTAAGTACAAGATTGTAAAGATTTAATGCATAGTGTACGTCTGTTTTTAATAATATTTTTGTTGTTGTTCTGTAGGAGGCGTGTGCTGCAGGGATTGAAGCGGCCATTGACAGAACAGACCATGTGATCACAGCGTACAGATCTCACGGTTTCACGTTCACCAGAGGAGTCTCCGCCAAAGAGATCCTCGCCGAACTCACAGGTCAGATATAGACGTAAACGAGTGCTTGACCTTCGGGGGGGTAACGCCTTTTTGTGTCTTTGTAGAAAAATCCAAACATTAATTTTCAAAAACTAATCAGTTCTGTAACTCTTTTCATTTTAGACATTTTAACATGCCCTGTGGTGTGGCCTCTCCTCAGAATATTCTACTAAATAGCATTCAATAACGTAATAATTTTTGGCCAATTTTAAATGTAAATACGCCCATAATGTAATAACAGGCCAGTAATTTAATACTGACAAGGGGGAAAAATGTCAGTTTGGTCTCAGCATATAAGCTTTCATGTGGAAATGACAAAATTGTCCACTCTGCATATATCGAAATATGACTTAATATTTAATTCAGTCAACTTGCAACCATAGAGTTATATAGAATATTGTCATTTCAAAGGCAGTTTTCTCAAAAATTAATAAGCAAAGAGTTCAAATGCAATGATGTTGAAGTATTACAACAGTTAAATTATTACATGTTTTTCTCTTGAAGTCGTAGTTGTCATGGCTTCCACTCTTCCTCTCTCCTCTAATGTGTGTTTTTAGTGCCTGTTGGTCCTCCACAGTCACTCTCTTATGTGTTTGTTTATTCCACAGGTCGTAAAGGGGGCGTGGCCAAAGGTAAAGGCGGCTCTATGCACATGTACGCGCCACATTTCTACGGAGGGAACGGCATCGTGGGAGCTCAGGTGAGAACATCTACAGTATATGGCACTGATACTTAGATGTAAGAGAAACAGCTGTCTAAGTTTTGGATCTCCTCTTCTCTGTGCATATTTGAAACCTCTTTTGTTTGTTGCAGGTTCCTTTGGGCGCTGGTGTGGCTCTGGCCTGTCAGTACCAGGGCAATAATCAGATCTGTGTGGCGCTGTACGGAGACGGAGCAGCCAATCAGGTGAGCTTAAGGTCTATGGTAGAACCCTGCACCTGACGCAAAACAGTGCGGCGCGGGACACATTTTGAAAGCTCGTTGCGGGCGGGAGCGGGACTGCGCAATGTAGGAGCGGGTGGCTGGGATTATAAACTGCAGTCCCGCAAACTAAATATGAGTAAAGTAAAATATACAAATGGTTAATGTACGTCTATCATACATCATTTGTGCTGGATATTTTATTTGGCATTAATAAAAACATTTTAAGCAGCCTAAACTTTAGGACATGATCTAATTTTGCGCACATTTTAAACAATTCCTTTCCGCTTCTCTGTGTTTGATAGAGCTTAAGAAAGTGAAAGCTCCATCTTGAGGGATTTGCAGGCAGGAGCAGGACTGAAAACTCTGTCCCGCGCAGACCTCTAGTCTGTGACAGAAGGCCCAAAGTGAGGCCCACGGGCAAAACTCGGCCCTTCTGGTGGTCACACCTGGCTCAAAATGGTGTGCTGAGATTCATAAGAAGCATCTGTCTTTTCAGGGCAAAACAGAATAAAACAATCAGTAAATGAAATGAAAGAGACACAGCCACATGCAGGTGTGAAAAGCAAACTCTTGGTCTGAAAAAAGAACCTAATAACATAAATCATCAGAAAACCAAATGAATGTCATTGGACTGAAATGAAAGAGTTAAAAAAAAAAAAAAGAGTATTTAGCGACATGATGGGTTTGGCCCTCAATGCGCAAAAAGCGGTTCAGCCCTGGCCTATGAGAATTTTGCCACAATTAAAATGTAGAATGTAATTTCTTCTTTAGAGTTGTGACACTGATAAAGTAATTCATAAAGTAATTAAATTTATTACATTGCTGATTTTGGCTTAGTGACTCTTGTAGCTGCTTAAAGACTCATGGTCATCGTGATTATGCATACTGAGAATAGAAGTTTCCTGTTGCCTCTCCTTCAGGGGCAGCTGTTTGAGGTCTACAACATGGCCGCCCTGTGGAAGCTGCCGTGCGTCTTCGTCTGTGAGAACAACAGATACGGGATGGGCACCGCAGTGGAGCGAGCAGCAGCCAGCACAGACTACTACAAGAGAGGAGACTACATCCCCGGGCTCAGGGTCAGTCTGTGAAAGAAGAAACACACACTGGTCTCTGGTCTCGACCCTGGTCTCAGACTGCTGCTCTGGTCTTAACTTGACTCTGGACTCTGGACTCTGGTCTCTGGAGTCTGGTCTCTGGAGTCTGGTCTCTGGAGTCTGGTCTCTGGAGTCTGGTCTCTGGTCTGGTCTGGAGTCTGGTCTCTGGCGTCTGGTCTCTGGAGTCTCTGGAGTCTCTCTGGAGTCTGGTCTCTGGAGTCTGGTCTCTGGCGTCTGGTCTCTGGCGTCTGGTCTCTGGCGTCTGGTCTCTGGAGTCTGGTCTCTGGTCTCTCTGGTCTCTGGACTCTGGTCTCTGGATTCTGGTCTCTGGACTCTGGTCTCTGGACTCTGGTCTCTGGACTCTGGAGTCTGGACTCTGGTCTCTGGTCTCTGGAGTCTGGTCTCTGGAGTCTGGTCTCTGGAGTCTGGTCTCTGGAGTCTGGTCTCTGGAGTCTGGTCTCTTGAGTCTGGTCTCTGGAGTCTGGTCTCTGGTCTCTGGACTCTGGACTCTGGTCTCTGGACTCTGGTCTCTGGTCTCTGGACTCTGGTCTCTGGTCTCTGGTCTCTGGTCTCTGGTCTCTGGTCTCTCTGGTCTCTGGTCTCTGGTCTCTGGTCTCTGGTCTCTTGGCTCTGGTCTCTGGTCTTGGGTCCCGACTGCCTGGGTCTTGTCCCTCGTGGTCGTCCCGTTCAGACCTAGATTATCACGGGGCAGAGCCTCGGCAGCTTCAGGTGTGAGCTTCACTCAGACCCTGACGTTCATGTATAATGCTGCACACAAACTTATCCTTTTTATGTTTTTTTCTATCAAATATTTTTGCTCTTCACTCCATAGATCACAAAATCATTTAGTCTTGTAGCGCAATGAGCAGAAACCTTATCGATCTCACAGTGGACAAGTTTTAGAATATGTGCATGTAATTTAAAACCATGTATGAGAAAACTTACACAGTGCACCTTTAATGTGCCTGTTTATTTGTTTTTGCAGGTGGATGGGATGGACGTTCTGTGTGTCCGAGAGGCGACAAAGTTTGCTGCTGAACACTGTCGATCGGGGAAGGTCTGTTTCTCTTTGTCTTCATTTTTACGATGAGATAAATTGGTTTAGATTTAATGGCGTGGTTTCATTTGTTTCAGGGTCCCATTTTGATGGAGCTGCAGACGTACCGTTACCATGGACACAGCATGAGCGACCCAGGAGTCAGGTCAGAATCTGAATACAAAAGTGTTAAATATCTCTGGCTGCACGGGGACACTGAGCACTTCAGACTCAGCAAGCAAGAACGTCCTGGATTTGACTCAGAGCGGCACAGGGTCTTTTCTGTGTGGAGTTTGCATGTTCTCCCTGTGCCTGTGTAGGTTTCCTCCAGGTGCTCTGGTTTCTCCTTCCACCAAAAACACTGGAATTGACCCTTCTGAGCTTTTTCAGGAGATTGCTAGCCTTAACTATTGGCTTTTAAAAGTAGTTGAAGCTGTGATGTAAGTTTATATTGTGGAAAGATTTCTCTCAATCTGTCTGTGTGTAAATGAACGTGATTTTTTACCTGAGACCAGATCAGTCATTAACACATGTAAAGGCTCAGCAGACACAACTGTCCCCAACCCACAGGAAATTTTGTGTTGCCTTAGCTGTCCTCAAATGTAAGTTAAGTTGATTAACACCAGTCTCTGAAACAAAAGTCACTCTGCTTTGATATGTATGTACATGTATTTCTGTATAAATACTCACAGATCTCAAATGTTCTGGGGGCAGAGACTCAGAACGGAGATGCTCTGGGAGGCGAGACTCGGAGCTGGGATGCTCCGAGGAGTCTAATGTGGTAGGGACATTCTGCTCGTGAGGCTGTTGGTCTGTGGCCAGGGCAGGTCTAGGTCCTGTCCATATCTGCTGTAACAAGAGTAAACCTGCGTCTGTATCCAAAAACTCATTGGCCTTTGCAAATCGTTGAATTATTTATCATCAAGAGACACATAATTTTTTCTACAACAAAGCCAGTACTGTTGTAGAAGTTTTCAGCTTGTCCAAGAAAGGGTGGAAGCAAAAGGCTGGAGACCAACTGGAGGTCTTAAACAGGAGAAATTTATTCATCATTAATAATACGGCTCGGAGGGAATTGAAAAGTCAGGATAGTCTGATTTCAAAAGTGAATATAGTATGAGCTTTGAGTGTTCAAGCACCTTTACTTTGCTTCCAAAAGAGGTTTATAAAGCAGGTGTAGTGAGACTATGAAGGCAGTATGCACCGGTAGTGTCATAGTACGCCAGACCGGTCTTGATCTGGATCGGCATTGAGACGTTTTTTTTTTTTTTTTTGCTGTCTTCTTCTCGTGTCAGACTCAAAGCGCATTTGGACTCGGTCTTGTCTCGGCCTTGAGGTCTGAAACTCGAGTGTGATCATATTTCAGTACGGCCGCTGTTGTCGGCAATTAGGAAAACAGGTTTAAAATCCTAACCACTTTTTTCACTCTGAAGCAGTTTTCTGTAAAGTGCCAGTGGAAGAGGGATTAATGAAAACTGAGTGAGGGTCCAAAAAAGGAGTTTAAGGTAGTAGAGTTATTTTGTCTTATTTTAATCTTAAATTAACATTAATCAGATAGAATGGAGATATATTTATAAAATCATTGACATACATGTGCCAAAATAACTGTAAAATACAATTAAATGTAGAAAATGACACAGAAGGTCTTGATTTGGTCTTTGTCTTGTCTCGGTCTCAACCCTCTGAGGTTTTGGTCTCCTCTTGGTCTCGATACCCTGTGGTCTCAGACAGGTCTTGGTCTCGATTAGTGTGGTCTTGACACCGGTTAGACAGCAGTATGCCACAATTTAGATAATGTTATGCTGATCGTGTGCCAAGGGAAGATGATGGTTTTCGCCTGTGAGTCGATGTCAAACTGAGAGATATACAAAACCCAATCATATATTTTTAACACTGTGATTTCTTTTCTCTGCAGTTATCGGACGCGAGAGGAGATCCAGGAGGTGAGGACCAAGAACGACCCGATCTCGATGCTCAAAGAACGAATGCTCAAAAACAACATGGCGTCTGCGGAGGAGCTTCAGGTTTGTCAACAGGCTACGATATCTGACACTTATTTGAGAACAAAATCCTGACTAAACTGTTGAGTGCTTGCTCAAGAACACAGTGGGGATTAAACCGCTCCACAAATTAATGTATACTAAACAATATAGTAATAAACTAAAGTCCTATTGAACGTCTTACTTTGCATAAGAGCTGTAAAACTGGAATAAAGGTCAGAGATTGTGCACTTTAGAGGAGCAGGTCTCTCAAATTTTTCCACCAAAGAAAAGATTTGGTTTTCAGAGTGGAACCAGATCTAACCCAGGTCTAGAACAGGACTAATCTAGGGCTAAACCTGGTCTAAAAGTGGACTAGATCATTTCCACTGTAGCTCTGAACAGAAAATTATCCAAAAGAGCCCAGAAAAGTGGATAAAATGAGCTCAAAATTGGGTAAAACCACAAACTGAAGAGCTGTACCAAGTAAGTATTAAGATTTCAGGGCATTATTTGTCAAAAAGTAGAAATGTTTGATTAAAGAACATAACTTTTTTTTCCCTCTAGGTTGTGTTTGTTGCTACTTTTGTTTATTTTGGACCAATATTTTCACTGTTTTTTTTAGGAAATCGACATTGAGATCAGAAAAGAGGTGGAGGAAGCTGCTCAGTTTGCGACGTCAGACCCGGAGCCCTCGCTGGACGATCTGTGTAAATACATCTACCACAACTGCCCCCCGGTGGAAGTCCGAGGAACTCACCCCTGGGCCAAACTGGTCTCTGTCAGCAATAGTTAACGAAAGATTTAAGGCTCAGACCGTCCCGAAATTCTTACAGCCATAGTCATCATTCTAGAGCAGTGTTTTCCAACCATTTTTATCACATTATTGGGACTAAAATCTGTATTCGTACTCAAATTATGTGGAAAAATTGGTTCCCCTACAACATAAATCTTTCAGTATAACATTAACAACTTTATTTAAAGAAGCACTATGTCACTTTCCAAATCCAAGTGAGAGAACGGGAGGCATCTACTAGTGAAAAAAAAAATCAGCAGACTTACAAATGGCTTTAAAACTTATTTGTCAACGTTAAAATAAGTAGGCGACACTACCACAATGTGATCCAAGTTAACAGTGTTATTATTTAAAGTTGCATTGTGTAACTTTTCCCTCGTAGCCCTGGTTGGGAAACGCTGCTGTGGAGTAATTCACCTCACAATGTTCTTTTGTAAATATAATGACGCTGCGTTCCAGTTTTCTTCGAAGATCTGACTTTCTGACATATATTTATTAACATCAGCCACTTTTCAATTTGCCTGGGATCCAAAATACACACTACGCCAATACTTTATGAAGATTTGAGCCTGATCGCTGATAAATAAGTTTAGATAGGCGTGATTGACAGATGGATTAGCCAATCGGGGACATCCATGATCTGTCTGTATGAAAACAAATATCTGAAAAACAAACAGACCTGGAATTGTTTTGTTTCATTCACACATTTTTAACACGCAAAATACTAGCCTGATTCAGCAGCCAGTTTCACTTTGTGGAAACCGTCTGACTTCACAGCATTAGGATTTGTTCACTCGACAGTACTTTTTTATTTAATTTTTTTATTTAACCAATCGCTGCTATTTGGTCGTGACGTATGTAATGCGCCAAATCCCGTAGGAAGGAGGACAATAATGTCTTTCCCCTTGATAAAATTCACCAAACATTCTCTTTGTTCCAACTTTAAATCCTCGATCTCGGGAATCGTTGCCAACACAGAATGTCTGTCTTCGTCTACATCCATCTCGACCACTTTGTTTACTGTTGTGCTGTTCCACAAAAGGGACCCAGACAGACGCTTGAGTTTGACGTCATGGCTTCACAGCTCTTCTCTGATTGGCCGGTGCGCGGTCTACAACTTCTGAGGCTCTTGCAAACTGTCTAGTGTATTCTGATTCCTGACCTAGTCGCTGGAGAGAAATGAAACTGAGCGGAGGCACTAGGTGGCGCCAGCGTGTCTAGCAAAATACCTTCACTAAAATAATTTGGATAATTTTGATCCTGGAATTTCCAGTCTCTTGAATTTAAGGTTAAAAATAGCTGTTCACTTAAACTACCTCTTTGTGACATGACTTTTATTATAAATGTCCTGGTTAAGATGTAATAAGCTTTGGATCCATGTTTTTGTCATGATTCATATTTTGTCTTTTTTTTTTTTACTTCTAATTAAAGCTGCACTGTGTTTTTGTTTTTTTTCTGTCTGTCACTTGTGTCCATGGAGGTTATTGCTTCGCCTTGAATGTTCCTCAGCAGAGCATTAAACATCTATCCAGCATTTATTTAGTTTAATTGAAAAAAAAAAACAAAAAAAAAACATATAGAAACTCACATTCCTTCTGTTACTGTGGTCACTTCTTCACAGACATGACCTGTAACGTCTTGGCCTGGCAAATACGTTTAGTGCCATCGCAGAACATTCCAGCCCAAAACGATAACCTCTTCCAGTAAAGTTACGCAGTACAGCTTTAATTTATGTCATTTTACGGTTCCTTTGTTTGTTACACTAAAGTCTGAGCTACAAGGACGAGTGGAACGCAGCTTTAGTTTCATGTACAGTTATTAAATTGTCGCAAATTATAAATATATTAAACTTAAATTATTGAAACCTTTGTCTGTGTCTGAACTGTCTTTGCACGTTATAAGAATTTTCTACTGTAAAAATAGAACAGTTTGCCAATATAAAGGTGGATTTGTGTAATTATAAGGATGTGACAAAATTCCGTATCATAAAATCAAAAGCAAGAAAAAAGAAAAACTTGTTTGCATTGGATGAAAAAGGGATTCGTCTTGATTTTTGAGTTAGATTTTTTTTGGAGAAGCTGTAACTCTTAAAAAAATTAATGCGATAATGACAAAAAATACAGAAAAAACAAACAAACTTGAGCCTAATATTGTGAAATTAATTGCACAGTTTCACTTTAGAACTAAATTTGAATGAATAGACAGTTGCATATTTTTATTTTGACCCAAACCGCCCCATGTTTGGTAGTTAAACCTGTAGTATAAGACACATTTTCACTTGACGTTAGACTTTATTGATCCACAAGGGAAAATATTTGGACACAAAAAATATAAATTAGGGGTCAAACTCAAATTCACAGAGAGCCAAAATTTAAAACTGGGACTAAGTCGTGGGCCAAACTAAATATTTATTGAAAAATTTCAACAACATCTGCATGTTTTCTCTTCTTTCGAGATATGTAATGTTAAACCTTTTCTTATTAAAATAAACGTTTATTAATAGTTTTGCTTATCCAGAACAAGTATAATATAAAATAATAACAAAATTGTAAATAAATAATGTCTATTTCCTATCTGTAGCTTTTGAACTCCTTTTTAAATGTTTTTTTTTTTTTTCACAAGCCAACAACCAGTCAAAAATAACAACTTCCTTCAATGAAAATCCAATCTTTCAACTATGAACAGTCAAGAATCATAAAGAAAATATTCATCTGAGCTCAGTTTGCTCGACTATGATTTACTCTGATACACATGGGTCCAAAGCAGAAACAAATACTCAGCATCTCTTCTTAGACACAAGTTCATCAAAGTAGTAGTAGTAGTAGGTGGTAGTAGTAGTGGTAGTTGTAGTATTAGTAGTTGTAGTAGTTGTTGTTGTAGTAGTAGTAGTTGTAGTATTAGTAGTAGTAGTAGTAGTAGTAGTAGTTAGTAGTAGTAGTAGTTGCAGTATTAGTAGTATTAGTAATAGTTGTAGTATTAGTAGTTGTTGTAGTAGTAGTAGTAGTTGTTGTAGTAGTTAGTAGTTGAAGTAGTTATATTAGTAGTAGTTGCAGTAGTTGGAGTATTAGTATTAGTAGTAGTAGTAGTAGCAGGTAGTAGTAGTATTAGCGGTGCATGAGCCATACTGGTGTGGGAGCCTGTGAGCTCTAATACATATTTGATATGAGCTCGCGGGCAAAATATAATTATATTGCGGGCTGAATTTGGCCCCCGGGCCTGAGTCTGACATGTGTGATACTCCATGTGATCATGTACACACGAATATGAGTATCCCAGTTTCTCAGCGCGCATGTACACTAGGGATGGGCATGATTTGTCGATTAATCGATAATTGATCATTAAGAATTTCATCGATTACGTTAATTTTAATCGACAAACCGAATGTAGGTTGCTGTGCGTAGCTTGACCAAACAGGTCTGTACATGTGTCTCTGCATCAGAAGGAGTGAGCAGACACAAACTGTCGGTCAGTCTGCAATGTACCGAAGCACAAATGTGTATTTAACGATGATTTGTACTAGGGGTGTCAAATTATCGCGTTAATTGCGATTAATTAATTACAGTCATATTTAGCGCGTTATGTTTTTTAATCGCGTTAATCTCATTTTTAATCTCTAACTTTAGTGTTTCTGTATGCGAGTTGCTTTATGATAAAACCTGTTTTTATGTGTTGTTGGGACAACAACACACACACACAAAAAACACATTTATACATTTTTTTATTTCGGTAATTCCACTCATTGCCGTAAACCCACACAAAACACGCGCAGTAAGAGCGATGTAAACGTCATATTCACGTTTACGGCGTCAGTCGCACAATGGACGAGGTCGAAGAGCCAGTAGAACAGAGGCAGCAGTGCACAGGTAAAAACACATTCGTGTCTTGGAAATTATTCTCCCGACGTGAAATATAAAAGAAAATAACTAATATAATATCGCCTACAACTTAAATGTCACTGGTGAAAACAACCTGCATAGACTCATGATGTCTGCACTACTGTCCTATAGTGACCTGCCACATGAGGGGACACGCACACAAACACACACAAACACAAACAAACACACACACACACCTTCATCATCGTCATTAACCTGAGAACGCGCGGACCACGTTTCCTTCCGTAGACACTGCGCGGACACCGACGTGCTCCCGTGAGCCGCGTGTGGATCGTGTTTTCTCGCGTACGCGGCGTAAACCGCGCTTCTTCCTGTGAGCCTCTAAACCAGAACTAACACCAAGACTAAAACCAGGACTTATCCAGTCCAGGACTAAACCAGGTCTAAACCAGGACTAAACCAGGACTAAACCAGACTAAACCAGAACTAAAACCAGGTCTAAACCAGGTCTAAACCAGGACTAAACCAGAACTAAACCCAGAACTAAAACCAGAACTAAAACCAGGACTAAACCAGGACTAAACCAGAACTAAAACCAGAACTAAAACCAGGTCTAAACCAGGACTAAACCAGGACCAAACCAGAACTAACACCAGGACTAAAACCAGGATTAATCCATTCCAGGACTAAACTAGGACTAAAGTAGGAACTAAAGCAGGTCTAAACCAGGACTAAAACCAGTGATCTCATATATAAAGCATTTCTCTATCAATAATATTTTTAATATGGTTAAGGAAAGACTGGACTTCTTATTGTCTTTAAGTAGACAAAAGTTATTATGTTCAGATTTCCTCGTCTTTGCTACTTTACAGCAAACAGTTTCTTATTCATGGAGACTTGGGCTCAACAGACCTTTTGGAGAGATTTGTTAAACAATAAATGACTTTATAAAGTCACTTTTTTTTGTTCTATATGAGTCTTTTGATCTGCCACAATAATGTAATAATGAATTTAAATGAAAATACCTCAACTTGAAGGCTTTTCTCAGCAATTTTTAGGTGAGATTAAAATGAGATTAATTAGATTAATTAATTACAGATCATAATTAATTAATCTCTCAATTTTTTTAATCGCATGACAGCACTAATTTGTACAAGAAATTCCACGCTTTCCGTTCTGTTCAGGACAAGTGTGAGGCCATGTGCACAGTGTACAAAGCAGGAACATATGTTTCGGTGTCCAGTCAGAATAGTTTTACCAGGTGAGAGTCGCGCAATGTCAATGACGAGGGGCCCCCCCACTCCCCCGTACAGTGTCCTGGTTTTGACAAACACAAATCTGGTCACACTAACCTGTATTCCACTGAGTCATGTCTTTTAATCCGACACAAGTTGAACCGCATCAGCGACACAAGAGCTGTAGTTTTATCTTCGCTTAGTTTATGCAAATTAGCGATGTGGTTTTAAGTTTTGTTTCTGTGAGAGTTGCACAAAACTGAATTAAACACATTATAATGTCAAACGGGCTGATGTGGCTCTAGAGTCGTTACGGTTTATATGTCGTAAAGTTGAATTTATTTATGCAGATTAGTCGTGCAGATAGTAATAATAATGATGATCATTTAAATATAAAAACGTTAATGATTAATCGATAATTGATCGTTAATTCTTCCGACGATCGATTAAGAAAATTTCATCGAATGCCCATCCCTAATGTACACACAGTATCCCGAATACTGCCATAACCGGGATACTGATGTGCACTCAATAAGAACACTTTAAGACCAAAATGACAAGTGACACAGAGAGGGGTGACAATGCCAGGGCCAGTAGAATCCAGAAGAGCTCACATGCAAATTTCCTGTTTGGAATGTGGTGGGCAGCACTTATAATTTGCATATAATTTCTTCCATGCTTTTTTTTTATTTTATTCTTTGAGCCCTCGTCTCCTTGTCTTGCCCAGGAGATGAACCGCTGCAGGTGCCCGATGCAAAGATATCCTCCGACGTTTTCTGAGGTTTTCCCCAGTCCCTAAAACGATTTCAGCTCAGTGCACCACACACACATCCATGAAACAGACAAACGAGTTAAACAAGTGAAGTTAAACCCGTCAAACCAAACTGGAGGAGGAGAGGGGCTCGTCACACTTCAAGGCTTTTCTGAGCTTTTCCAAACTGTGTGAATTAAACTTAAAACATGCTGGTCCTGATCTCCAGCGCGCTCGGCCGGACCCCAGCCCCAGCTCTGACTCTGGTGAGTGAATCCACGAATAAACCTCAAACCGCTTTTCATGTTTTCTAAGTATGACTTTGTTTGGTGGGATAAAACCTGTGCTGAACAATTATCATAGTTTTCAAATCTCACTTTAGTCTCTCTCTGGGTCGCCAGTTTCAGTGTTAAAATCTACAGTCAGTGTTGGGGAGTAACAGATTACATGTACTGGAGTTATGTAATCAGAGTACAAATTATGAGTAACTGTATTCAGTTACAGTTACTGTTTCAGTGAGTGGTAATTGGATTACAGTTACTTTGTTGAAATAAATGGATTACACGGCGGTAATTTCCTGTTTTCACATTTTTGGCTGAATCAGGACTAAAACCAGGTCTAAACCAGGACTAAACCAGGACTAAACTAGGACTAAAACCAGGACTAAAACCAGGTCTAAACCAGGACTAAAACCAGGACTAAACCAGGACTAAACTATGACTAAAACCAGGTCTAAACCAGGACTAAACTAGGACTAAAACCAGGACTAAACTAGGACTAAAACCAGGACTAAAACCAGGTCTAAACCAAGACTAAAACCAGGACTAAACCAGGACTAAACTAGGACTAAAACCAGGACTAAAACCAGGTCTAAACCAGGACCAAACTAGGACTAAAACCAGGTCTAAACCAGGACCAAACTAGGACTAAAACCAGGACTAAACTAGGACTAAAACCAGGACTAAAACCAGGTCTAAACCAGGACCAAACTAGGACTAAAACCAGGACTAAAACCAGGTCTAAACCAGGACTAAACTAGGACTAAAACCAGGACTAAAACCAGGTCTAAACCAGGACCAAACTAGGACTAAAACCAGGACTAAACTAGGACTAAAACCAGGACTAAAACCAGGACTAAAACCAGGTCTAAACCAGGACTAAAACCAGGACTAAACTATGACTAAAACCAGGTCTAAACCAGGACTAAACTAGGACTAAAACCAGGACTAAACTATGACTAAAACCAGGTCTAAACCAGGACTAAACTAGGACTAAACCAGGACTAAACCAGGACTAAACCAGGACTAAACTAGGACTAAACCAGGACTAAACCAGGACTAAACTAGACTAAACAAACCAGGACTAAACTAGGACTAAACCAGGACTAAACTAGGACTAAACAAGGTCTAAAACCAGGACTAAACTAGGAATAAACCAGGTCTAAACCAGGACTAAACTAGAACTAAACCAGGACTAAACCAGGTCTAAACAATATGGCATCTAACAGTCGGTGGACACAATTTAAGGTGATCTCATATAAAAATAATTTCTCTATCAATAATATTTTTAATATGGTTAAGAAAAGACTGGACTTTTTATTTTCTTTTAGCAGATAAAACTTCTTATCTTCAGATCCTCGTCTTTGTTTCTCTACAGCAAAAAATCACCTGTTCATGGAGACTTGGGCTCAACCAATTTGAGAACAAACAAGACTTTTCAGGATGTGATTGCTACATCCTGTTTTAAAAAGCAGGACAATATCAAGTAATCCAAAGTATTCAGATTACGTTACCACTTTAAGTAATTTAATGGGTTATGTTACAAACTACATTTTGTTGTATGTAATCTGTAATCTGTAGGGGATTACATTTTAAAAGTCACCTTCCCAACACCGTCTACAGACATCAACACATGACCCTGTTTTTTCTTCTCTTCACTGGCTGCCTGTGTGTTTCAGAATCGTTTTAAGATTTTACTAATCACTTTTAAAGCTCGTTTAGGTCTTGCACCAAATTACATTTCAGAATTTTTAACCCCGTACAAGCCTCCCGCAGTAGGAGTGTAACGATATCCAAGTCTCACGATACGATATTGTCACGGTATGAACCTCGCGGTACAATATTTATTGGGAAAAGCTCACGATATGGTGGGGAGGCTCACGGTTAGAGATGTAACAATATCCAAATCTCACTGTACAATATTTTCACAATATAAATCTCATGGTAAGATATTTATTGCGATATTTTGTGGAGGCTGCAAACAAAACTGTGACTATGCTTCTTTTTCCTCTTAAAATGCCTTGACAAGACTTAATCCAAAGAACTAAGACTAAAAAGTGTTTAGAACTGTTATTTCTTCTTGTAGTCTGCACTGAAATGGAGCAAAGGATCATGGTCTATGTAGTTCCCTCTGTCTTTTTTAGCTCCTGCTGCACCATAACTCTTAATTTAAGCAAAGAGACTTTCGATATATTGTGACGGTCCACGATATTATTGTGAGAACTTTGACGATACGATATCACGATATTTCGGTTACTGTTACATCCCTACTACTATTACTACTACTACTATACTGTATTTTTCTTGTTGTCAAATGTTTTACTTCTTCTTGCGTTTTGTAGGAACACAAAATGTCTGTTTCTTTTTCCTTAAAAGGTCCGATATTATGAAAAAATTTACTCTTTCAGCCATGACATAATGTTAACAGACCAAAGTTGTGTTTTGTTTCATTCACACATATTTGAGTAACCCTTTATTATTAGTCTGTCTACATCTCCAAAGCTCAAAACGCTCTGTTCCACCTTGTGATGTCATGAAGAGGTAGTTTTCAAGTTAACAGCTCCTTTTACCTTTTTATGTAATGAATTTGAGGAGACCCCAGGAAGAATAGCTACTGTTGTTTCAGTAGCTAATGGGGATCTTAATAAACTAAACTAAACTAAACCTTTAGTTCAGTAGAGATTGAAATTCCAGGGTTGAAATCATCAAAATGATTCTAGTGAAGGTGTATGGAGTTTAAAAACACAGTGGAGCACTTCCTGTATTACCACATGACATCACAAGGTGGAACAGAGTGTTTTCAGTTTGACCTTTTGACCTTTTCTTCTTGTGAGTAAATTGTGATTTATTGTTTTCAGGCTCGAACTGTTTCTAGACCGTTATCAGATTTCACCCAAAAAGTCACGTTTCACATTAAGGTGAGTCCCGCCACTTTTACTTTCGGTATCTCACCTCCTAATTAAAGGTGCATTGTGTAACTTTTCTAGTGGAGGGTCCGTCAAATACTTTTTAATATTCAAAAACTGCAAATTTGACTAAAAGATGCACCAGTCCAGTTTTTTTTTAAGCTTCATTACTCATTTTCTTTGAATAAAATCTGAACGCTGTGACCTTTGCTTAGTCTTACTCGAAAACATTTGATCTATTTCAAACCAAATCAAGTCACAGGTCAGATCTGTGGAGAGGCGACCCCGCTCAAAGTCAGAGTGTCTGTTTTTCTAGGTATTTCTGAGCTATAAAAGCACCTGTAATTGAACAAATGTAAGGTAGAGCTGTTTAACTCTTTCCCCCTTGGACGCTGACAAGAACAACCCACACATAACTGACCAGAGCATCACTGCATAAAAGAAAACAGACTTCCACAAGTGATTATAATCTGTGTGTCATTCATTCGTTTTTAATATAAAACCAAAAATAAGAAAATGAAAAAACAACAATTTTCTTCATTATTTGTCTCCAAAACCAAAATAGAAAAAAAAACACAGATAATGATTCGTTTTTTCAGTTTTTGATTTTGTGTTTAAATGAAAAGTGGAAAAAACGAATAACGACCCATTTACATGATTTAAACTGTGATGCTGGACTGAACCAGGACCGAGACTGAGATCAGAACTGAGACCGGGACCAGACCAAGACTGAGACAAGACCAGGACCAGACCGGAGGCTCAGAGCTCAGGGCAGGGCCGGAGCTCAAAGCTGAGGCTTGGACCCTGCGGAGGCTCGGAGTCAAAGCTCGGAGTCTACTCTGGTCCCGCTCTGGTCCCGGTGAGGTCCTGGACCTGGATCAGTCCTGGTTCAGTCCGTATTCAGTGCAAAAGTCCCGACCTCACAGTCACTGAAGTCAAGTAAACGGGAAACGGTCTTTATCATTTTTTCCATTTTTCATTTAAACACAAAATCGAAAACTGAAAAAACAAAACATTATCTGTTTTTTCAGTTTTGGTTTTGGAGACAAATAATGAAGAAAACAGTTTAGTAACACTTTATAATAACTACACCTTATTTAGCTTTAATAAAACATGAACAAAGGCTTAATTAATAATGAACAAAGACTTAATTAATAATGATTCACTCTTAGTAACTACTTAATTACTACCTTAATTAGCACTTGCACTTAATTTGCCTGTGCTGTAAATAATTACTCATAATTATTTCATACTTAATTACTCATGGACTAACCATTTGAACATTTATTAATCATTAATAAGCTATGAGAGAATGATTTACTAATAATGCAAAGCAATGATAATTCAGGCAGCTGTTATCTGTTAGTTAAGTCTTTTTGAGGGCTTTTCTAAAGTGAAGACTAATTGTGCTTTACTAAGCGTGAATCATTATTAATTAAATCTTTGTTCATTATTAATTAAGTCTTTGTTCATGCTTTATTAAGGCTAAGTAAGGTGTAGTTATTATAAAGTGTTACCAACAGTTTTTTCATTTTCTTATTTTTGGTTTTATATTGAAAAACGAATGAACGACTGACACGGATTATTAGGGAAACAAGGAGGGTCGTCAAATGTCGTCTTCATGGGGGAAAGAGTTAATGTCACACTGTGGAACATTCCAGGCAGAGCAGTGACATAGCCATAGAAACAAGCAGGTGAGGGACCCCCAACTAAAAAGTTACACAGTGCTTCTTCGTTAAAGTGTAACAAAGTGTGTTGTGTGTAGAAATGTGACGTGCATAGGTTGGAGGAGGGCCCCCCTGAGTCCACAGACCTGACTCGTGACCAGGGCCTGGGCTTGTACCGGTCCATGCAGACGATCAGACGCCTGGAGCAGCAGGTGGATCTTCTCTACAGGCACAAACTAATCTTGGGTCCCTGCCACTTGTACACAGGACAGGTCAGAACTGTACTACAGAGTAATCTAGTGATCTCTCCCGGGCCCTATTCTAACCCTCTTTACTGTTGCTGTACAATCTGTCACTTCACAGGTTTTTCTTTGTTTCTAGGAGGCGTGTGCAGTGGGCGTTGAAGCAGCCATAGACAGAACAGACCACGTGATCACCTCGTACAGGGTCCACGGCTTCAGCATCACCAGACGAGTGTCGCCCAGAGAGATCCTCACAGAGATCACCGGTACCAACGTGTATTATGGAGTGGTTTTTTGTTTTTAGTTTATGACAGAAAATGTGTAAAAATATGATAAGTTTACATTATTTTTGTTTCGGCAAAGAATACAAGTGTGGCTTATTTACATTATATTGTATTACCAACAATTACGACTATTACCCCTTCTTTTGAATTTTTTTATTTAAAGTTGCATTGTGTAACTTTTCTGGTCTGAGTCTCTGTTAAATGCTTCTCTCCACGTAGATGTTTTTGCTTCAGGGTTCCCACGGTCATGGAAATCCTGGAAAAGTCATGGAAATTGAAAATGTCATTTTTCAGGCCTGGAAAAGTCATAGAATTTTGTAAATTCAATGGAAGTTTTGTAAAAGTCATGGAATTTTAGTATCTCTTTCACGCAGCTACATCGTTCTGTTAAGTTCTCATTAGAACGTCTGCGCCTTTTGTTTAAAAGAGACGACAATAAATGCACTGACAGTATTTTAAATGTTAAAAAAATATAACACCAAACCATAAGGTGAGTGGAAAGGGTTAACATTTCAAATTTAGCTCTAAAAGTCTGATCAATTTTACATATGTCATGGAAAATTCACTTTAAGTCATGAAAAAGTCGTGGAAAAGTTTTGAAATTCTGTCAGTGTAAACGAGTGGGAACCCTGGGCATTAAACCTTTCTATCTTCATGGAGTCCAAACCAAATGAAATAAACCAAAAAAAATCAAATTTTGTAGGTATTTTTGAGCTATAAAACTATAAAATGTAATAATTGTAAGGTAGAGCTGTTTAATGTCACACTGTGGTAACAAGCAGGCACATGAATCAGGTAAAATGTCTGAAAACTACAAACATTTACTAACCTGTCCTGTTGGTAAATAAGTCCTCCCTCCAGCCTCACAAGGCAAAGCGAATAGACTGGAGCTATAGTCGTGTCAAACCTTTGTGGTCAGGTCGTAGAGGCGGCGTGTCCAAAGGCAGAGGAGGACCCATGCACATGTACGGTCAAAACTTCTACGGAGGAAACGGCATCGTGGGGTCACAGGTGAATATGACTACACCTTTTTTAATAACACGGTTAAAAGTTTTTTGTGCATAATAGATTTCCTTTAAAGCAGGGGCGTTCAAACTTTTTTCATCAAGGGCAACATGTCAAAACACAGATGAAGCAGAGAGCTGATCGAGGGCCATCGACTAGGTGATCAGTGCAGTGAATAATTGAAATATGTGCAATTTTAACATGTTAGAATAAGCCATCAGGCCTCTATTCAAGCCTACAATCTCAAAGGTACACACTAAATATTAGATATTGGCTGTATCAAGGTCGATTTTTACATAACTTGTAGTAAAAAATACTTAAGGTAATATGGGTCAATTCACCTGGAAGCCTGAGGGCCAAGAATAATTGATATGAGGGCTGCATTTTGCTGGGCCATAGTTTGGACATGCCTGCTTTAAAGGGTTATAAGCCTGAATTATTCTTAATTTCTATTTTATTGGAACACCTCTTGAGATGAGTCTCTGTGCAGATTCCTCTGGGGGCTGGTGTGGCTCTGGCCTGTCAGTATCGACGCAACGATCAGATCTGTGTAGCAGTGTACGGAGATGGAGCTGCCAATCAGGTCAGGACTGAACCAGGACTGAACCAAGACTGAACCAGGACTGAACCAGGACTGAACCAGGACTGAACCAGGACTGAACCAGGACTGAACCAAGACTGAACCAAGACTGAACCAGGACTAAACCAGGACTAAACCAGGACTGAACCAAGACTGAACCAGGACTGAACCAGGACTAATTATGTAACAAAGATTTTCCTCAAAGTAGCCGCCTTTTGATTTGTGGACATTTTCTTGAGCCACTTTTTTGTTTATTCCACATATAAATACTCTATCTATTAATGCATAGTTTTGATGGCTTCAGTGAAAATCTACAATGCAAAAATAAAGAAAAAAAACTGAAAGCTTATGTCCAAATTTATGATGGTCATACTGGTTCATTTATTTATACGACGTCTCCTTCAGGGTCAGGTGTTTGAGACCTTCAACATGGCCGCCCTTTGGAAACTGCCCATCGTCTTCGTCTGCGAGAACAACAGATACGGTAAAGGGACGCATATAGAGCGAGCATCAGCCTCTACGGACTTCTACAAAAAATCAGACTGCATCCCCGGACTCAGGGTGAGAAATTACACTTGGACAAACTTCCACAAGAGAAATGACTTGGACCCAGCAGCTCACACATCACGATCTATCTCTTAATGTGAGGAACGTCTGTCTGTGTCTCCTCCTGCTGGTTTGTTGGTTTGTTTATTCGTCTGTTCAACGCATAACTCTCAAACCACTCATTGGACTGATCTCAAATTTGGACTGTGTCATCCTGATGGTGTGGGTGTGTGCAGTGCAAAGTTTCATGTTGTCAGGACAAAAAATGCCAAAGATCTCGTAAGATGAGTGATATATTTTAAGTATAAACAACTTTTGGGATCAAGGACACCAGGGGTCACATGACACTTCGGGGTGTGTTACTGGCCACGCTTGGAATCTTTACATCTTCTAGCATAATATATTAAAAAAGAGGAAAAAATATAAATAGCCATTGTGTAATCGTTCAACCCTGTCATAAATCTATATTGCGGTTGTCATGAGAAAATCCGAGTGTATAAAGGTGCTGCTGTTTCAGGTGGATGGGATGGATGTCCTCTGTGTTCGTGAAGCATCAAAGTTTGCCAAAGATCACTGTCAATCAGGAAAGGTCAGTTCACTCAGTCTTTACTTAAAGTCTGTATTTTCTGATCTATGTTAGAATCTAGTTTCTTCATCACAAACAGACCAGGAGTTGTGTTGTGTGTTTTGTTTCATTCACACATGTGCCTCTCTAGTCCAATGAGGTTCATTTGGTCTTCCGATAATTTATGTTCTTACGTTCTTTTTTCAGACCAAAAGTTTGTTTTCAGACCTGACCATTGGGCAAGTTAATTCAAAACTGTAAATGTGATATTTATGACGTATTACTGTCATTTCAAAGTTATTAGTTACATTACAATATTACTGCATTTAAAATGTAAAACATTACATTATTATTGGATTACTTTTAAGTTACTCTCACCAGAATAACTGTGAAGATGCTGAACTTTTGCGCCGTATATGGACTGAACCAGGACTAAACCAGGTCTAAACCAGAGCTGAACCAGAACTGAACCAGGACTAAACTAGGTCTAAACCAGGACTGAACTGAGGACTAAACCAGGACTAAACCAGAGCTGAACCAGGACTAAACCAGGACTAAACTAGGACTAAACCAGGACTGAACTGAAGACTAAACCAGGACTAAACCAGAGCTGAACCAGGACTAAACCAGAGCTGAAACAGGTCTAAACCAGGTCTAAACCAGGTCTAAACCAGGACCAAACCAGGACTAAACCAGGACTAAACCAGGACTAATCTTGGACTAGAACTTGGAAGACAGGGTGTCTGCAAAGTGCAATCGGGCGTCACCTGTGTTTAGCCTTGTGGAGCGCGGAGTTCTGCGTCGGTCACCTGACGGTCTACACGGGCGCATCTCCGACATTTCACCGCTGCTAATATCGCGGTGATTTTAGCAAATTTGCATGAAGAAAAACGAAAAACCCACCACTTCAATCCAAGTTAAAAATACATTGTAAAGCGCGTTACTCACATTTGTACCGAGTAAAATATTACAAATTTTCCCCTGTAAAGCCAAACATTACTGAGTTACAGCAAAAAGCAACACATTACAGTAATTCATTACTTTTATAACGTGTTACTCCCAACACTGAAGACCGCTAGTGAGCAGTCGAAACTGTCAGGTATGAAAACGAACTCTGTTAGTCTGTACCACCTTGTGATGTCATGTGATAATACAAGAAGTGCTCCATTGTGTTTTTAAACTCCATACACTGCAAAAAAGCGTGGCCAAAATGTAAGATATATACACTTAAATCTATCACAAAATGACTTAAAAGAAGTGAAATTATCTGTCCATGCAGCAAGATCATTTTACTTGACAAGTTATCTTAAAATAAACTACCTCTAGACTAGAATTAAGCATCTCAGAACTAGTCAGTGGATAATAAATCAGAAAACAAGATGAATATAAGTTTTATAATCTTGGCCAGATCAGAGAAATTTGCAGTGTACAAATTCACTAGAATCATGGATAATTTGAGCCCTAGAGCTGCTCATCTCTACTGAACACAAGGTAAAAGGAGCTGTTCACTTGAAAACTATTTCTTCATGACATCACAATAGAGATGTAGACAGACTAATAACAAATAACGGATTACTCAAAACTCCAGGTTTGTCTTTACCTCCATTTGAGAATTATGAACATTCTGATGACATAGATTTTAACGGGTTTATACTTTATCACTATATAAAGCATGTTTTTTAGGGCCCGATAATCTTGGAGCTACAGACCTACCGTTTCCATGGACACTTGACGGCTGATCAGCACCTGAGGTAAGACGCAACAGGGAACTTCATTTGTGATTAAAGTGGATTTACATAAAGACATGAGTCTGATTAAATATAAATGTGTTAAGGGTCCGTCAAATCCTTTGTTTTTTTTCTGTGGAGATGCTATGGCTTTATCTTGAATGTTTCACAGTATGGCATTAAACTTCTATCTTCATGGAGACCAAACCAAGCCACGTTACAGGTCAGATCTGTGGAGAGGTGGAGAGGCGACCCCGCTCACAGTCATGCCTGTTTTTCTGGGTATTTTTGAGCTATAAAACAACATGTAATTTAATAAATGTAGGGCTGAATGATCTATCATTTTGGACCAAAAATTGTGATCCCAGACAACGTGATTATGGGAGCGTCAAAGCTGCAGTTTTTTTTTTACAGGTCTCCTAAAGCTCAATTTTAAGGGTGAAGTTTAGTTCTGCATCGACTCAACGCACACTGCCGCCCTCGTCTTGTGGCCGTTGTTTTTGATTTATGGGTCTGTGTTCAAGGTCCATGCGCCGCAAAGTAATTCACCACCACAACACTAGGAGGCGAGGATTTAAACCTGGTGTTCGTGTAAAGTTTAACATGAACCATCTCCAACGTGATAGAAACAGAACAGACTCAGCATCAGCAAGGCAAGTTTATTTGTATAGCACAATTCGTACACAAAGTAATTCAAAGGTGTTTTACAGAATAAGAAATACATGAAAATCACAATAAAAACAAATCAAGGCATAAATAATCATAAAGATTAAAATTAAAAAAGAGAGACATAAATAAGAGAGAAGAGTGCACAGTGAATTTCAAGCCAGGTCCATATGAGGAACAGGAATTTATTTATGTACAAAACAGCAAAATAAAAACTCCAGGATCATGTAGAGGATGTGAATCAGGATCAGTATAAGGATGTGGCTCCAGTCAAATGAAGCTCACAGAGGCTAGCAGTTAGGAGGAGTGAATTTAGAGCCAGGTCCATATGAGGAACAGGAATTTATTTATGTACAAAACAGCTAAATAAAAATTCCAGGATCATGTAGAGCGCGTTAATATGAACATTTTAAGATTCTATATCTTTCAAAACGTAACGCTTTTTATACTCTTTAGACTTTTTTTTTTTAAATCATCACTCAGATTGTTCCATAAACTAACCCCTTTAACAGAAATACAATCACTTTTTTTCTTAGTTCTTATCTTCATTTTATTTATTTTTTTACTGTGTTACTGACCGGACAAAGCAATGATATATCCATAGAAACAAGAAGGTGACAAACCCCCAACCAAAAAGTTACACAGTGCGCCTTTACAATACAATCTCCTGCAGTTATCGGAGTGAGACAGAAGTCCAGGAGTACAGTAAGAAAGACCCCATACTGAGGCTGGTGGAGCAAATGGTCCACACAAACATGGCGTCTGCGCAGGATTTTGAGGTGGGTTCATGTTTACATCAACTTAACTCAACTGTTTCCATGAGAGGTAATTGGATTACAGTTACTTTGTGGAAATAAATGGATGGTATTTTCCTGTTTTCACATTTTTGGGCTATATCGATTTTTTTGTTTTTTTTTAATTCCGCTCATTACCGGAAACTAAACCAGGTCTAAACTAGATCTAAAACAGGACTAAACCAGGTCTAAACCAGGACTAAACAGGACTAAAACCAGGTCTAAACTAGGTCTAAAATAGGACTAAACCAGGTCTAAACCAGGACTAAACCAGAATTAAAACCAGGTCTAAACTAGATCTAAACCAGGACTAAACCAGGTCTAAAACAGGTCTTAAACGGATCTAAACTAGATCTAAACCAGGTCTAAACCAGGTCTAAACCAGGTCTAAAACCAGGTCTAAACCAGGTCTAAAACCAGGTCTAAAACCAGGTCTAAACTAGATCTAAACCAGGTCTAAACCAGGTCTAAAACCAGGTCTAAACCAGGTCTAAAACCAGGTCTAAACTAGATCTAAACCAGGTCTAAAACCAGGTCTAAACCAGGTCTAAAACCAGGTCTAAACCAGGTCTAAACCAGGTCTAAACCAGGTCTAAACCAGGTCTAAACCAGGTCTAAACCAGGACTAAAACAGGATTTAACGTGTCTCCTCCTCCTCTATCAATAATATTTTTTAATATGGTTAAGTAAAGTCTGGGCTTTTCATCGTCAGACAAAACATCTTATGTTACGTTATCCTCGTCTTTGCTTCTCTACAGCAAATCAAGTAATCCAAAGTATTCAGATTACATTACTCACTTTAAGTAATTTAATGGATTATGTTACAAACTACATTTTGGGGTATGTAATCTGTAATCTGTAGGGGAATACATTTTAAAAGTAACCTTCCCAACACTGGTGATGAGGAATATGGACTTGTTAAGCTACTTTTTTCTTTATGTGCGTTTTACTGGATTTATTGTTTTTTTGTTTGTTGTTTTGTTTGTTTGTTTTTTTCAAGGAAATTGACATGGAGATCAGAAAAGAGGTGGAGGAAGCTGCTCAGTTTGCGCTAACAGACCAGGAGCCGCCTCTGGACGATCTGTGTAAACACATCTACCACAACAACCCCCCGCTGAAGGTCCGAGGAACTCACCCGTGGGCCACACTGGTCTCCCCCGGCAACAGCTCCCTTTAAAGTCAATCTGGCACATTACTTAGTTTGGTGAGACAGTGCACTTTTAACCGACGTAAAACTATGATAAATAAATAGTTTGTCAGTTTTCGTTTGGGCGTCCGTCACCTGCTTGTTTCTATGGAGATGTCCTTGCTCTGCCTGGAATGTTCCACAGTGTGACATTAAACATTTATTCAATTACAGACGATTTTATAGCTCAAAAATGCCTAGAAAAACAGACATTCTCCACAGATCTGACCTGTAACTTGATCTGTTTTGGTCTCCGTGAAGATAGAAAGGTTTAATGCCATACTGTGAAACATTCCAGACAAAGCTACAACATCTCCATGGAGAAAAGCATTTGACGGACCCTTCACTGTAAAGTTACACAATGCACCTTTAAGTGTGTAACCACCTGTCACCTGCACTTTAAGACTTTCACTTAATAAATCTCATAAATAAATGTGATCAAATATTTAGAGTTTGGTGTCATTGGTCAGTGTTGTCAGATTAGACCCACAACAATCCCCGCATGATTAAAGATGTACTATGTAACTTTACTGGAGGAGGGTATGCCACCTGCTTTTCTCCATGGAGATGTAGAATGTCCACAGTATGGCATTAAATTCTAACGTCAAAAAGTAACGCCGCTGGGCCAAGTTACAAGACACACTGGAAAAAAACAATATCTAGGTAAGTTAAAATGACTTAAATTAAAGGTTGTAGAGGATTTTTTTTTAAGGGAAAAGAAATACAGTGACAGTCCTTTTTCAAATGTTGTGCATGCGTGACACCACCTTCCTCCTCCACTGCTCCCTCAGTAGAAACACCTCCTCCCGCCTCCTGACTCTAGAAATCACGCTTGTTTACAGCCAGTGTGCGTTCAGAATTACTGTTGAAGTGACCTGTCTAAAAATAACTTAGCGACCGACGCGTCAGTTTTTAGACCCTTCGTCTGCTTCAGCCATTGCTGGAAGAGATCTCCAAGAATCACCTCAGTTTGGCTTTGCTCCTTTTCCCCTTCTCTTCTTCTTTCAGCGACCTCAAAAACAGACTTTCTCTTGCGGTGAACTGGTCGTGGATTCTTGTCCGCAACAAAGTTTGTGCGAAATGCGAGGAAGCTACACTTTGAAAAAGCCTCTAAGAACCGCTGCATAAACCACGTAATCCCAGCGTGCGGACGAGTCAGTTACACTAGAAACGTAGGCAGTTTGATTGACAACCTAACAGCCAATAGAAAATGAGGCAGCCTTGTTCTCTATTGGCTGATGTTTATCTGGCCTCACTACTGTATGTCCACAGTTGATAGATTTTTATTTTATTTTTTTTTTTTTTTTGTGGTCATCATAATTACAAGGCTGTTGCATCTTTGTAATGGTATTTTAAACTTTCACTGACAATAAAAAAAAATAAAAAAATCCTCCGTACAACCTTTAAGAACATTTTACTTTATTTGAGTCGATTCAACTTGACAAGTGAAAATATCTATATCTTTGTTTTTCGTAATTTAAGCAACATTCAATTTTGTTTCTCATTTTAAGTGCAAAAAGTTGTTTTTCTTATTTTAAGTGTATCAAGATGTATTTTCATATTTTAAGTATATGAAGTCTTGTTCCACTGGCAGATAATTTTACTTGTCAAGAGAAATTCACTCAAATCATGATAAAACATTCTTAATTCAAGTTGTCTTAACTTGACTAGATTTAGTTTTTTTGCAGTGTGGATCTGTGTAAAAGTAAAAATTTATATATTTTTCAAGTTATTCTTTAACACTTGTAACACTTAATTACGTAAAACAAACAAATTTGGCCCACAAGATTATATCAAATATGTATTAGAGCTGCCCGCCGGCTACAGATAGGCAATAGAGAATTATTTATTTAAAATTTTGTTATTATTTTATATTTTGCTTGTTCTGGATTCAGGCAAAACTATTATAAAACATTTATTTTAATAAGAAAAAGTTTAACATTACATATCTCGAAAGAAGAGAAAATATGCAGATGTTGTCGAAATTTTCCATTAAATATTTAGTTTGGCCCACAACTTAGTCCCAGCCCTCTGTGAATTCAAGTTTGACACCCCTGATGTAATTGAACAATGCAACCTTAATGCCATAATGTGGAATATTCCAGATAAAATAGTAACATGAGGGATTGCCACATGGTAATAAAAAAGAAAGTGCCATTTAATGCTGAAATAAAGTTCGAGATTTTAGTATTATAACAACACTTTAGTGCACCTTTTATATTTTATTATTCCTGTCAAGAGTAAAACCATTTCTGTAATTCATTAATAACTGACCTGGTCACACCACCTGCTTGTATCCATAGAGACAGAAATATTTACTGCCCTTAACTGGTTGTGCTCGGAAAATCAAATATTATCTTAGGCAGTACTGGGTGTGAAGTGTTTGAAAATCAGTCTATTGCTTTGTGCAGTTACGCTGTTTTGTCACCAGGGGTCAGTATTGCTCTAATAAATGTAAGCAGGTAGTACATAGTTTTAAAACAAAAACGATTTCTGTCTTCAAGAGATATTTGCTGCATGAATGACAATCCAAACATAGACTCGTGCCAGTAATTTTCTTTGAATGCAGCCAAGACACACGCTTTATTGGTCTTGTCTATCTTAAAACAACTTGGTAACTGCAATTTCTAATGAGAAATGCTTGGTACTTTTAGCCCACTATTTCAATTTTTCCTCTTTATTCTAGCTTATGCCATCTTTATCCAACTCCAAATCCACTTTTATTTATTTCTATAGCACATTTTACAAACAAAGCAGTTTCCAAAGTGCTGCACAGAGACCATAAACTGAAGAAAACAAAAAAGTAAATTGCTAAAATCTGGACATAGAAGTCCTAAAACAATAAAATCTGTGAAAATCAAACAAAAGCAAAACCATAAAATCATAAAATAGCAGTAAAAGAAATAAAAGAAATCAAAGACACAGAGGAACACAACACTCACGCGGTGTTAAATGCCAGAAAATAAAAGTGGGTTTTAAAATTAGACTGTTCGGGTGTGGTATTTCTGCCTAGTGTTATTGTTAGGCTATAATTTATTTAGATTTTATTCAAAGTTTTCAAAATCATAGCCTACAAAAACTGTTAATGCATAAAAATTTGCACAACACAGGATGTATGCAAATGAAGAGCAAATGTGAAAATGCATGGTACTTTTAGCCCACTATTTCAATTTTTCCCCTTTTATTCTAGTTTATGCCGACTTTTTCCAACTCCAAATCCACTTTTATTTATTTCTATAGTGCATTTTACAAACAAAGCAATTTCCAAAGTGCTGCACAGAGACCATAAAATGAAGAAAACAAAAAAGCAAATTGCTAAAATTTGGACATACAAATCCTAAAACAATAAAACCAGTAAAGATCAAGCAACAGCAAAATCATAAAAATCATAAAATAGCAGTAAAAGAAATAAAATTAATCAAAGACACAGAGGAACACAACACTCACACGGAGTTAAAAGCCAAAAAATTTAAGTGGTGGACTTAAAACACTCCACTGTGGGTCTGTTTGGACGTGGTATTTCTGCTTTGTATTATTGTTAAGCTCTTATTTATTTAGATTTTATTTTACGTTTTCAACATCATAGCCTGCAAAAACTGTTAATATATAAAAATTTGCACAACATAACGGCCAGGATGTATGCAAATGAAGAGAAAATTTGAAAATGCTTGGTACTTCTAGTCTACTATTTCAATTTTCCAGTCCTCTTTATTTTAGTTTATGCCATTGTTCTGCCTATAGTATTATTGTTAGGCTATAATTTACTAAGGTTTTATTCTAAGCTTTCAAAATCATAGCCTGAAAAACTGTTAATGCATAAAAATTTGCACAACATAACGTCCAGGAGATTTGCAAATGAAGAGAAAATTGGAAAATGCTTAGTACTGTAATGTAAAAACACAGCTGTAATTGTTTTTAAATCTGAGTCTGATATCATTCACATGTATCTGAGTGGTTTTCATTTTCCAAATTGTCCTTGATTTTTTCATAATTTGTGATATTCTGAAATTAATCCAAGTTTTCCCACGAAAGCCGCATTATGTTCCAATTCGCTTCTGCCTCCAGCTGCCTCCATTACAGAATTTATAATGTGTTTGTTTTTATGCTGATGGGGATTAAATTCAAGGAATATTAATAAACTTAGTAAAATTCATAAATAAATAAATAGAAAAAAAAAACAAAAAAAAAAAAACAACATTAAACACATTAAAAACATTTATGTCAATGACTCAAAATAAATAAATATAAATAATAATAATATAAATATAAATAATAAATAAAAACAATCAAAAAATCAGTTTAAAAAAAATTAATCTAAATCAAATTTCCCACTTCTCATACTTTTTTTTTTTTTTTTTTTTTTTTTTTAATGCACCACACTGTCTTCTAATGCCAAAAAAAGAAAAAAGTAAGAAAAAAAGAAAAGTTTTTGTTTACAATTTTATATTTCTACGACTATAAGTACGATGGAGTATAAGGGTCAGATAAAAAAAAATTAAAAAAATGCTGGCGCTACGAGAATAAAGTCGTAACATTTCGACATTAAAGTCGTAATATTATGAGAATAAAGTGGAAGCCAGAAAAAGTCATAATTTTACGAGAATACAGTCATAATTTTACGAGAATAAAGTCGTAGTCAAAATAAAGTCGTAATATTACGAGAATATCGGCTGCTCGGAAAGTCCAGTGGAGAATGAAGAATTTGGAGCATTTTGTAAAGTTGAAGAATCCGTGTATCATTCATTCATTCGACTGAACAAGGACTGAATCAGGACTAAATCAGGCCCGGAACCAAACCAGCAAGACCAGGATTGAGACCGGGACCAGACCAGGACTGAAAACGGTTTAGTCCTAGTTTAGTCCTGGTTTAAGTCACGGAAATGGGAAATGGCGTTTACGTGACTTTAAAATGCGATGCGGGACTATTGCGCAGCATACGGACTGAACCAGGACTGAACCAGGACTGAATCCGGACTAAACCAGGACTAAACCGTTTTCAGTCCTGGTCTGGTCCCGGTCTCAGTCCCAGTCTCAGTCCTGGTCCTGTTCCCGGTCTCAATCCTGGTCTCAGTTCTTGTCTGATCCCGGTCTCAGTCTTGGTCCCTGACTCAGTCCTTGTCTGGTCCTGGTCTAAGTCCTGATCTCAGTCCCAATCTGGTCTTGGACCTGGTTTAGTCCTGGTTTAGTCCTGGTTCAGTCAGGAGGCAAAATAATGAAGAAAATTGTTGTTCGTTTTCTTATTTTTGGTTTTATATTGAAAAACAAGGTTCTTCTTATGGCGCATTTTTCACTTTGACTTTGATTTTATTACGACTTCATTCTCGTAATATTATAACTTTATTCTCATAATATTACGACTTTATTTTAACTTCGACTTGATTCTCGTAAAATTACTACTTTTTTAATCAACACTAATGACTTTATTTTCGTAAAATTACGACTTTTCCTGGCTTAGACTTTATTCTCATATTACGACTTTAATGTCAAAATGTTACAACTTTATTGTCGTAGCGCCAGCATGTTTTTTTTTTGTTTTTGTTTTTTTTTTTAATCTGACCCTTATACTCCGTCGAATATTTCAAATCGTCAGCACAGCGCAATGTTTTGATTTTTACACTTTACCTTGTGATGCCCCCGTCCTCCCCCTTCCTCCCTCACTCCCGCCGTCCGGACGCCACGCACAGTGACGCAGGGTGACGCAGGGTGACGCAGTGACAGGTAAACCGACACCGGGCGCCATATTGGGCAAGAGCGGAAGCGAGCGGCGGAGCGGGGAGGGGCGGTGTCAGCGCCACGGCCGATCCGGAATTCTGCTGCGTTCGCTCGGCTTGACTCGGTTCGATCGCTCGGTCCCGCGGTGGTGGCTGGTCGGCTGGCTGGGGACCAACTTTTAGCACTTGAAAAACGGAATACGTCGGAGCTAAAGGGATAATTTATAAGCGTTAAAGACAGCTGTTGTTAACGGGGAAGGAAGGCAGAGGGATACACGGAGAAGCAGAGCGGTAAAAGTCGAGGAGGGTGACCGAAGATGCCGCTCGCTCAGTTGGCAGACCCCTGGCAGAAGATGCCTGTGGGCACCGCTGGAGAGGTGAGTCCTGCCCGCTGTCAAACCCACTCACTCCCGCTGTCCTGGCTCCCAGTGACACCTCTCCTACACTAGTTTAACACATGCAATCACCAGTGTCCTAACTTATTTTATTAAGCTAATTTCCCTCGTGCTTCTGCATTGGGTTTAATCTTTTGGAAAGCTCATGACAAGGAAGTAAAATCGTGATTTAGGTTCAACTTCTTTACACATTAAATCAACTAGACTGTACTAGTTTATTAATGTTCATGCAGATTTTTAACTCATGCCAACAAAAGACAGTGAAGTACAGAGATTTAAATTAAATTTCAAAGTTTAAGTAAAGGCAACTTGCAGAATTTCACAATGTTTATCCATTTTGTGCAGCTCCTTATGGTTTGTGGTTGTAATTTTTTTGCTTTAATGCCACTTTACACATTGCTTTATATAGAATTGTGCGTTTTTATACCTGCCTCGGAGCATTAATGCTGAAATATGAACTGATATGAAACTAACACAAGAATCACATGCAATTTTAAGCGTTTTGTCGTGGTCTAAACTACACAGTAAGCAGATTATAGTGAAGCAAAGACTGGATATTTTGCTCTCTGTTGCAGAAATAAGTCCCCTAACAAAAATAATTGCAACATTCGCAAATTTCAACCAATTACTATATCCTGCACTGTCATCGAAACAATTAAATCGGCAATTAAATTAGATCCGCAAAGAGTGTAACACATACTAGTAGCAGTACAAGTGGTAATTATTCTCGATATAGGCCAATTTGTGGTTGTTTGTAGTGTTGCGTTGCAAATACTCCACTGACAGTCCACAGTAGTTTGATTCTGGCAGCGTTTTCAGTTTGGCAACCAAATTAGGCTAGCGCTATCAGTGAATGCATCGGCTCATAATGTGCATACTGACTCATAAAAGGGGGACTGCACTAGTTCGGTCCTGATACAAACGTTTAAAACTTGATTTCGACAGCTAATACGAATTCTGATACCACATTGATAATAATATTTAGACAATAGAATGTTATTATTTGTATACAAGTCTGTGTGCTCTTAATCTACACTTCAAGATCGTTCTAAAGGTCAACTTCTGTTCTGTGACTTTTTCCAGTAGTGATACCTCCCCAAATGAGTTTCGATATTAGTTTTATTAGAGCTAAAAATGCCTATCGATAGGCAAAAACAAACATCTCAGACTTGATTCTGATCGTAAAGAAAAGGCTCCATTTTGATATGTCACTGGCCGCGGTTTTAATCACTCAAAATCTGATCTAATGTAATATTTTTGAAGTTATGAGATTGTTTAAATGCCACGTAAAACACCAAATCGTCTGTTTTCTTTAAGATTCTGGTCCCGCTGATCACACATGTCAGGCTGTCTTTTTAGTCACCTTCAAGCTCCAGAAATCAGATAATTACATTTTGTTGAGCATGTGAACGAGGCTGATGAAAATAAAAACACAAAAAGCTATAATTTTCAAGACTAAATACTAATGAGTTGCATAGTTGTGCCATGTGGTCTCATTGTGGTTTGAGATCATTCCAAAACTATTGATATTTTGCAGTGACAAAGTGGGGGCGGTGTTCTACATGTATCTCTATGGGTGGAATGTTTAACAGTTACCATGGCGTCGCAATGCAAACATTAGCAAAAATTGTCAAAAATATTTAAATGCAATTTGAAAACTCAAGAAAAAACAAACAAAATGGATTTAAACAAATATTCAGATGCTTGTGATCAATACGAGAGTTCGTGGTTCTGTTTTTTTCCAACAAAAAAGTTACTGGGTATAAAATGAAGTAACTGTGACTAATTTTATGAGCGTGAAATTTAATAGTAGAAATCATCTCACCTGTTGTAGTTCCAGAGAAGTCAGTTCTTTATGGTCAGATTGTGTTAAAAGTAATGCTCAGAATAAAGTCATGCTCCTCATGTGTGTGGTGTCAGTGTGACTCTGAGCTGCTCTGTCAGATCATAACCACCAAACATCAGAAACTCTACGGTAAAAGCTGATAAAACTGAGCGTCAGGGGCAGAGGAGTGACGGACACAGATGCAAGATACAAACTCAGGAAATAGCGAAAATAATCAGGCGAATTTATTACTCACCTCTTGTAAAGTTGTAAATCTAAAATGCAGCATTTCATCCACATTATCCATAGAAATTGTCCTCTGCAAATAATGACGTGAATCCAATCCAGTTTGTGGCATTCTTTAAAAGTAAAAAGGCCGGAGTACTTCCTCACATGTGTTTGTTTACATCACACAGTTAGATAGTCAGATAGTCACTCTACTTCCTGCGCACTTTATCTCCAATCTGTTATGCTTTAAAAATAATGTATCTGAAGTTTTCCACCACATTTCACAACTAATAACAACTCAGTTTTGACTTGTATCTAAACTAGAAGTGCAGTGTTTTGATCTTTTGAACACTTAAGAGTCTCAAAGCGAGTGGTTTTACTGTAGACAGGACAACTTTATAGCCTGTAGTCGGAGATTTTAAGTCTCGCCAGATTCTCCTCGTGTCTGTGGTGTGTACTTTTTGTCACTTGTTTAAAAATCGTTCAAGACCGAAAAATCCTGTAGTGTGTTAAGTAAATGAGCTTCTAACATAGTAGTGCTTAGGGATGTAACAAAAACCGAAATATCATGATATCGTATCGTCAAAGTTCTCACAATAATATCGTGGACCATCAAAATATATCGAATTACAAGTCTCTTTGGTTAAATTAAGAGTTATGGTGCAGCAACAGCTAAAAAACAGAGGGAACTACATAGACCATGATCCTTTGCTCCATTTCAGCGCAGACTACAAGAAGAAATAACAATTCTAAGCACTTTTAAGTCTTAGTGTTTTGGATTCAAGGCATTTTAAGAGGGAAAAGTTGCATTTTTTTAGCTTTTAGCCTCCAATAAATATCGTATCATGAGATGTATATTGTGAAAATATCGTACCGAGAGATTTGGATATCGTTACATCCCGAGTAGTGCTTCCAGTTAGCATCACACTCCCAGGGAATGTTGCGGAAAAGTCTAGAAAGATCTAATTTTGTCATGTTTTTTTCTTCTTCTTCAGTATTCCCACTTGAGAACATTAATATCAGTTCGCATTTTCAATTTTTTTGGACAGCCCTACTCTCAAAAGGCCTCAGAGCCGATTATGCAGGAATAGAAATCTCTCTGCGCTGCCCATGTGTCCTTGGGCAAGACACTCCACCTGCGCCCTCCTCCCCCTCCTCCTCGTCCTCCTCCTCCCCGGTGGCCGTGTGAGTGCAGCGAGTGCAGATGGGGCCTTGATGTGAAGTGCTCTGAGTGCACAGAGGTTGAGAGGAGCTGTATAAATTTACCATTCTAAACGCTAATGGCTTTGGACTTTAAATAGGGCTTCAGTAAGAACAACAACAACAGAAGCAGCAGCAGCGACGACTACGACAGCGAAGGGCTTTTCCTGGAGACCACCTCAGCAAATATATCAGACTCAAATGTGGTCACGTGTCTGTGGATTTGAAATATTAAGGGAGAGTTATTGTGCTTGTGTATTGTGCACTAAACTAGGACTAAAGCAAGACTAAATCAGAGCTAAACTAAGGCTAAACCAGGACTAAACTAAAATTAAACTAAGACTAAACCAGGGTTAAACCAGGACTAAACGAGGACTAAACTAGAATTAAACTAGGACTAAACCAGTAATTAAACCAGTAACTAAACCAGGGTCAAACGAGGACTAAAAAAGGACTAAACCAGGGCTAAACCAGTACTAAAAAAGGACTAAAGCAGGGCTAAACTAGGGCTAAACCAAGACTAAACTAGAATTAAACCAGGACTAAACCAGGGCTGAACTAGAATTAAACCAGGACTAAACCAGGGCTGAACTAGAATTAAACTAGGACTAAACCAGGACTGAACCAGGGCTAAACCAGGACTAAACCAGGGCTAAAAAAGGACTAAAGCAGGGCTAAACTAGAATTAAACTAGGACTAAACCAGTGCTAAATCAGGACTAAACCAGTAACTAAACCAGGACTAAACTAGAATTAAACTAGTATTAAACCAAGACTAAACCAGGGCTAAACTAGAATTAAACTATTACTAAATCAGGGCTAAACCAGTAAGTGAACCAGGACTGAACCAGGGTTAAACTAATAACTAAACCAGGACTAAACCAGAAATAAACCAGAACTAAACCACACATTGTGCTTGTGTCGTCTGTTGCTATAATCTCTGACACCTCATTCTGTTATCATATTTTAATCGCGATATTCATCTAAAACGACACAATAAAAGAAACAAGTCATCCGCCTTCTGACGTGATGTCGCCATAAACATCATCACAACAATAAAGACATAAATTAAGATAAGAGAAAATAAAATTGGAGAATGAAGTAAAGAGTAAAGAGCTGTGCCGGTGGCGGTGAAAACAGGAGTTGATCTGCAATATAACGTCTTGAAAAATAAAATAAAAAATAATTAAAGGTTGTTGAAGCATGCACAAATCGCTCCAAATACAACTTCGAGTGAATAAATAGTGAAGGAAAACAAATATAACGTGGGTAAATAACAAAATTGTAGAATAGACCTGCTTTTAAACCTCCTGTACTTGATTTTTTCCAACGTATTTGTTCAAAATTTGCTTTACTTTAGTACAGATAATTTGTATTTAAGCAGCTCTTGAGGTCAAAATAAGTCTGCTGTAACGTTTCGAGCCAAAAAGCAGAAATGTTCCAGACCAAATAATGATTGATTTATTGTTGTTGACAGCTTAACGTGTTTTTTTTAGCATCATTAGTTCCGACACGATCGCACAGTTTAATGTTTAATTATCCACCCTGAACGATAAAATTAAATGATCCCGTTTTTAAAGCTCAGTTTTTAATGAATTTATGAGAAAGTTCAAACGGGTTTTTTATAGGGCAGCTGTAAAAGATGTTTATGACAACGAACTAATAAAAATAAAGAGAAAAAAAATAGAAATGTTATTGCTTTGTCTGGAATGTTCCTCAGTATGTATCAC